ATGTGTCCGGGTCTCTTTTAGAATAACTCGTCTAACATATCTACTCTCTCTTTAGCCCTGCATTGGAATTGCTCGAGTCAAGCGGTGGAGACGCGCTAATCAGCTGAAGCTCAACCCGCCCATCGAAGTCCTTGCGGTTCTTCTCAAGGGGAAGAATATAAGCGAGCGAGCATATATTGATGAATTGTTATCCTGAGAACATATGGGACAGTGATTTGAATTGGCGTTGACATACTTGCATGGATTGGGCGTTTGTGGGGGATATTAATGAGATACGAATGACCTATGGGTATTCATAGGATACCTTCCGCAGTCATGACTGAATCGAAGATCTTCTAACTCCCAGCTTGCCTTCTGAGAAATACCGAGCTAGTTCTTCCATTTCTCCATAGAAAAGTCGTGGCATGCCTATAGTCACTAGGAGAATACGGCTGCCATTCAGTAGTGGAAAATAGGGCTAGGAATAAGCTAGTAATAAGCTAATAATTTGAGGAAAATGCAAGTAGGATCTTGATACAGAAAAGTGAAGCATTTCGAAGGACCAGGGTATCATATATGAAAGCAAAACAAAACAGAAAACAAAGGAGATTCTCATTCTCGCCGTAATCTCGAGTTTCTCCCTACGTCGGAAAGGCTGCCCGCGACTTTTGGCCAGCGAAAGGAGTTCTATAGGAGCCGCAGTATTTTGATTCTGCTGGAATGCTTCGATGAACGTATCGTAGGCTTCGAGAAGTTTTGGTCGCACACCTCGACCTTCTGCCATTCACGGGTTGGTATCGATATATCAGCCCGTGAATTGAAAATCTTTATGATCGAAGGGGAGACATCGACAAAATCGCGGTCGTGGGAATACTGGAACGTCAAATGGTAGTGCTGATAGAAGAAGCATTTCCAGATTTTTGCATGGGCGGGGTCAATCATGAGAGATCTAACTCAGCCCCACGTATGAGGATATTTTGCCGAGATTGGGGCTTGTTTGACTTTTGGAGCTGCTGAATTTTTTTTCGTTCTCAAGCCGCTGCATGTCGTTCTTGAGGCTGCTTAAGTCCCCCAGTTGACGGATCATAGCCAAGCCATCTCGATGGTCCAAGGCCTCCGGATAGTCATTGCGGAGTAAAGTGACTGATTCCAATTTCCGAGGCCACGTAGTAATGGGGGGTATTCAGCGTAGCTGGTATACTCCTCATCCGCATAGTACGCATCCGGAGGTTAGTACACGTGGTCGCTGTCGTAGAAAGCAACGTTAGCGAGATTAGTATCGGTACCGTCCGATTGTATAGGTCCCCCGGGCATCGCGGCGGCTTCCTAGGGATGATCGACCTGATAAGCGGCTGCAGGACGATTCTATCGTGGTTGACGGGCTGTGTACCCCGTGGCTGAATAGCCTGCCTGATTCTAGGGTTTGTCAGCCAGCAAAAGCTGACCTGCCTGATTGGTGCGGTCGCGTGGCTGCTGTTGCTGACGCGGCTGATAGGGTTACTGCGGCGTGTAAGGCGCGCGCTGTGCTTGTGGGCCACTTGGCGGAAGCGCATAGGGAGTCCTTTGGGTTTGCTGTGGTCGTTGCTGATCACGGTTTTGGCTCTGGTTCCACGTAGGCTGGGGGATGTTAGTCGCTGCAGTGACGTGCCAGGTCTTGTAAAGATAGAAGAGTGCATCAATTCAAAATAACGAAGATAGAGAGAGAAAGAAGAAGCAAGTTGCAAAGTGGGAAGCGGCCTGCTTATATAGCTCAAACTCTTGTTTAGAATTCGCTCAGAACTCACTTAGACCTCACTCTCACTTAAACCTCACTCTCACTTAGGCAAATATTGTAAACGTAATATCTAGTGCATGCTTTGGAAGCCATAATGATAGAGAAGGTGGATGCTGAGATAGAATATGCTCAATGCCTGAATAAGAGTATAGTATGAATGCATTTTGATTGGTCTATAAATAATGAGCTAGCCATATTAGAACTAGTGTTTAATCCGGTCACATGATAGGATAATTACTTCGCTACACATAAGAGAAACTTGGTCACGTGATACATGATACATGCGTAAGACCTTGTGATTTTGTAAGAGTACACATATGGTAGGTGGTCAGCACAATTATACGGAGTAGATGTAGAAAGACTGTAGAGAGTTATGTTCCGATGGTCCATTTAGTCACCCGTAACAGAGTCTCGGTGGCGACGCTAAGTAGGAGTCGTGTCTCATGTGATCGGTGCTTTTGTATTTTTGTTCCTGATTTTGCTGATTTTCCTGAACTCTCTTTCTTATTGACCCCAACCCCATACAAATGAATACTAGTGTGCTTGGCACTGTCTAAGTCAAAGATGATGTATCTAGTCCAGTCCAGTCTTGACTCGGCCCACCCCCGCTAAATGTCTCACTTGGCAAGGCCCGTTCTCGTCCTACGTGCCAATGCCATTTTCTTAGGAAATAACAGGAAATGGTTCACTTGGAAGTAACATTTAAACCCTGTTGCCACTGGAGGTGATCGTAATATGCAGGTACAATATCTCACGATCGAGTCACATTTCAGAGAATGCTAACGTTTCGGTAATCTTTTCTAGTTTGTGATTCTCTAGTAAGCCCAATGAAACTCAGAAAACGCCGGGATGTCTTTGGGGCTACAATGTACAACCCTGTATACCCATAAGCCCTATATTGGACAAGTTCCGGGGCTCACAAGGTTGTTGATCATGGCCTGAGTTTTGACCCTTTCCATAACCTTGATGGCGCCGTGTGTTACCCCAAGCAATTTCAAACAAGATATATTATATTGCCTTGTTTATTAAATAGCGTCGGACCAAGTCCCAATGTGGTATAGTTCGATGCTACCCTCCCTCGGGCCCTGCCGGGGTCCAACCGTCTTCCCCGGATTTTCCTAATACTATGGGGTTTGCCACCCCATTTGTCTTTTTGCAAATCTTTCTGCACATTTATTGCTTTCAATGCTGGCAGGCTTGCGTATCTACATATGCTGGAGTCATAATTTGTAGCCAATTGACGGAAGGCTTTGGGCAGTGGGCAGTAGGAACGCTGCACAACCACGCCACATGTACTCCGTACGGAGTACTGCACCGTACCGTCATCCATCGAGGCCACTAACAGTCTAGCACGAGATGTGGAGATTAAACCCAATGGCCCTAATCACCGTATGACTAACCTCAAATGGAAGTGTACTACATACCAACGTCGCCACTGGTCCAGTCTTTCCGGTGGCTTTCTCGTTCGTCTGATCTAGTCTCAACTTGGCGATGCGGGCATACGTACGCTGTACGAGACAATAGCACCAACCCAATCCTCGCTCAATGCTCAATCGGCTGCGGGAACCCATTATCCGGCGTCAGCCTTCAGGCTTGGCCTTGAACTCAGCCAATCCGTGGTAATTACAGATCTGAGTCAACCGCGGCCGAAGCCTGCTTTCGGTGGATTGCCTCCCATTAAGCATGCGGAGACATGTGATGGTCCCACGCGCCAGCCTCTGAGTGCAACCTTGCCACAGGGGTATCTCCATGGGGCAGGTGGAGTATATACGACTGGCAAAGCTTATAAAAAGGGCATCCAGCACCCCAAGTCCAGACCTGGCTCCTCTTCTCAACTCATCCGCACTCGCTATACAATACTTGACTGTCTTTTCCGGCACGCCGTTCATAATATCTTCTATCTTTTAGTCCAATTCATCAAGATGAAGTTCTCCACCACTCTGATTGCCTTTGTTGCTGCCGGCCTCGCCAGCGCCCAGCTGCCCGATGTGCCCGCCTGCTCGGTACGAAGAAAACTGATGTATACATCACAAGAATATGGTTACTAACAATTGCCTCTAGCTGAGCTGCTTCATCTCTGCCCTGCAGAGCGATGGCTGCTCCGAGCTGCTCGACTTCAAGTGTCACTGCCAGAAGACCGAGCTCGTGACCAGTATCACTCCTTGTGTTCAGAAGGCCTGCGACCACAGTGACCAAGTCTGTATGTTAACACCCATCTACTTACTCCCCTTGATCTAAACATCCCACTAACTCACTCATCCAGCTGTCTCCAACGCCGTCGTTGGGCAGTGTTCCTCCGCCGGTCACCCCATCTCGGTCCCTCCCGTCGAGACCAGCGCTTCCTCCACCGTCAGCGCCAGCACCTCGAGCTCTGCCCCCGCTGAGACTACTGCCACCCCCACCGCGTCTGCCAGCGAGACCTCCAGCGCTGTTGAGACCTCATCATCCGCTGTTGAGACCTCCTCTGCTGTCGAGACCTCGTCTTCCGCTGTCGAGTCCTCCTCCGCCGTTGAGACCTCGTCCTCGGCTGTTGAGTCCTCCTCCGCTGTCGAGACCGAGACCTCCTCCACCGGTACCACCGCCACTGGGTCCTCCCCCGTCGGCTCCTCCTCCGGCGTTGCCACCTCCACCCCACTGGTGACCAAGACCGGCTCGTCCTCTGGCGCCACCCCCTCGCCCACCTACACTGGCGCCGGTGCCAATGTCAAGGGCAACATGGCTGGTGTTGCTGCCCTCGCCGCTGCTGCCGCTTACATCCTGTAAATATGCCTATACCTAATATGAGGCTGTTCTTGGTGTTTGCGCTGGCTTGTGTTGGCATAGGATTTGCTTCCTTTTTTTGCTGGCAGGGTTGACTGTGCGAGATGCCTGAATTAGTTACCTCCCTGTATAGTTGACACGCTTAATACAATGTACGTCTTGTCTTTACCTTTTTGGTGAAACGGATGTTTATGATTTGGTCTCTGTTGTCTGCTTACGAAATTCGTATGCTTCGAGTTCGGTGTCATCACTATGTAGGATATATATCTTCGAGAAAGTTGTATTCTAGCGCCAAGTTATTTTCGCTGGAGCAAAACTAGAAATGACCCTCGATATTACACCAATGCTACGCGACGTAAACAAACAAGAGATCCTCCTTTTGACGCTACTCTATTTACCAAAATCAGCCTACGAGATCTTTACGCGATGTTCAGTCAATTAAAGTCATGGCATGTAATTCCTTATCATTGAAATATCTTGAAAATCATCACAGCAAAGCAGCGAGAGCAGCAGCAACCATAGGTGCAGCCGTAATCATAGCACCAGCGTGTCCCGCAGCACCACCGGTCGACTTAGTCGTCGTGGCCGTCTCGGTAGTAATCGACTCCAGTCCCGCGGTGACGGTCAACTGGTAGTACGAAGCCGAAATCGGGGCAGTGGTGTATGTCGCCTTGCTGGAAGTAGACGACTCGACCTTCGCGCCGTCGACGCTTCCGCTCATGCTGACACTCATCGTGCAGCTGGCGGACTCGGTCGACGCCTTCAGGGAACAATGGTAGGACTGGGAGACAGTCATCTCGTAGCTGGAAGTCTTGTCGGAGGTGGAGGCGATGTATTTGCCGTCGAGACTGACTGTCTCCGGGCCTTGGACGATGGTCCACGAGGACGGGTAGTTGCAGTCGGTCTTGGGCGCGTCCTTCAGACAGCCGACGTGGTATGTGGCCGTGCCGGATTTGTAGGCGACGAGGCTGGCGGCGGTGCTGGTCCAACCGCCGTACTGGAGGAGGCCTGCGTCCCAGGAAGGAGAGAAGTAGCCGATGATTTCGCTGCTGCTGTCCTTGGCTTGGGTGCCGAGGGTAGCGAGAGCTGCGGCGAGGAAAAAGGAGGTACGCATGTTGATGTTTTTGACACACGATGGGGTGGGAAAGGAAAGGAAAGGTGGAGGTGAAGAGAGATGGAGGTGCAAAATTCAATTGACGGACGCGCGCGCCCCTTTAAATGAAAAAGAGTCAGACTATTTAGTTACCTAGCGGCTAGACTATAGCGAGGTAGCATACTACGAGCCCTCATTTTACAAAGCTCTCTCATTGGCTTGTGTCCGTACTCTTTGACCACTCATTGGATGTTAGACCGCTGTGGCTTACCGAATTCATTGCTAGCATTCGGCTACATTACTAGCGTGATACAGGAAATGATAGTGAAAAAGAGGCCAAAAACAAGGAAAAAAAGATATCGTGTGGTCCTTGTGTTGTGGACACACACGTGGTAGTCAGACATAGACTTCTATTCACCTAACGTTCACAATTAGGGTCTTCGCGATGTCACTGATCCCTGGAGGCTCTTTATTAAAATTCGGGAGGACCGTCGGACCCATAAATATCGCCAGGACCAGCCAATCACCTCATTACCTTCGGAGTAATCTCCACTAGGGGTCCTCTCCCGGACCTTCCGCTCGTCACAGTTGCCTAACCACGGAGTACAACATACACTACGGAGTACGGAGTGCTCCAGGCTGTATTGAAAAAATGAAGGATATGGAGAGACCCCCACACAAGTTAAAACGTACGACTTATTTCAGACGGTAATCCTGCTTTTGGTGGCGACTATCCACCTACTAGTCAGTCCTGTCACCGCTACCTCCGAAAAAATAAACGCCAGCACACGCCCAGCGCAATTTTTACTGAGACTTTCCTTGCTTTTTCTGGGACTGACAGCATGGAGAGTAACTTCACTTGATTTCTCGCAGGATGGATGATGCCATTAAAGTGCCAAGAGCGGATATCTCTAAGGCGAATAATGTCTTCCGAGGTCTTGTCCATGCAAGGAGATGACAGCACATTGCCATCTCCTATATTTTGAAGTGAGAGACATTTCGATTCCAGCCTTATTCTCCCTCCTCGTGACGCCCTACTGGGTTCTGTCAATAGCGGAATTCCTGCCCAGCGAGCTTCTCACTCAGCTTCCATAATTTCTCAGCTTCGACTTTATCCGTAGCCCAGGGCTTGATGGTGTCCGTCCAAGGGTCTGCGACATGGCAGTCCTGAAGATATGCACCGTTGTGATCTTCGAGAGAAATCAGTATGCACATTCGGTCGAATGGGGGTCACCGTCTCACCTCGAAGGCTTGGCTCAAACGCAGCATACACATGGGTCGCCGCTCCTTCTTGGGGGCTTTTTTGTTTGAACTCCAGCCAGCCCTCCTTATTCCCCATAAATTTGTCGACAGCGCCTAGGGACATTAGCCACGCGGAATTTCTGCATACCTTTGATAATCACTTACGCAATGCCGGGAGGTCAACAGTCCAGTCGAGATCCTTCGCGAGGGTAGTACCGAAAACGACACCAGGATGCAAACTATACGCCGTAAGGCCCTTGGGACCTAGTCTTTGCGCAAGATAGGTAGCCATCAAGACGTTACTTGTCTTGGACTGACCGTAGGCAGCCCACTTGTTATAAGTTTCTCCATCCTGCAACTCGGCACATTAGCACATTAGATATGCAAGTGGCGAGCGAAACTGATAGCCTACCTGGAAGTTGTAATCTCCCCAGCGGATAGGACTGAGTCGATGACCATCGCTGCTAACATTGACCACCCGCGGCGATGGAGAATTCAAGATTTTATCCATCACCAAGTTGGTGAAGAGGAAATGGCCGAGGTGGTTCGTGGCAAACTGACTCTCGTAGCCATCTGCAGTGAGCGCAAAATCAGTAGCCATAATTCCTGCGTTATTGACGAGGATATCGATATGTGGCAGATCACTCCAGCTGTTCACCTCCGACGCGGCTTGGCGGACTGAAGACAGCGAGGCCAGGTCGAGCTGCAGCAGTCGGACTGAGACTTGTGGAGATGCAGCGTTTATTGCGTCTGCTGTTTGCTGCAACGTAACCGTGTTGCGTCCCGCCAGGATTAACGTGGCCGGCTTAGCGCGTGCGATCGTCTCCACGAAGGTTGCTCCAATGCTGTTCGGAGAGGGTCCAGTCATGAGAATCACCTTGCCTTGGATTTCGGCGGCGAGATGATCGACTAGCTCAGCGGCCGTGGTGCTGGCATTGTACGTGGGAGCCATTTTCTCTCCTTGTGTGAAGTTATGCCTGAGTTTGGAGAATGATTTCGTTATATACGGATTAATAGAGTGATACTCCGCAGTAGGTACCTACTCCATAAATAGTCAAGATAAGATTAGATTTGTAATCAGATACCTGGTCCACACCCGCCAAGGTTCCCAAAAACCCGCGACGATCCGATCCAAGGTTAGTTAGTTAACTAGTAGGTAGTTACCCATGTACATTACTTTGTTTGGTCAGGACGGCGGCAGGTGGGGCCAGTGCCGCGCCAATGTAAAATTCCGTGATCTTAGAGCGGTACTTTCTTCCCACGAGGTATGACGCAGGGCTCCAGCTTCCACAGAGGACGTAGAACGCCTTATAGACCGGGAACCAGGGCAATCCGTTAGCCCATACAATCATAGGGGGGTCCAGAGGCACTCGGGAGGTACGAATATCTCTGTGTTAGTCAAAGTCAGCCTGAAACTGGGAACTTCTTTAGTACGGTATCATTGTGTATAAGCAGTAGAAAACGCCCTTGTCCATCAGGCGAACGTAAGATAAAGCGAGACGGGCTTCGTGCTAAAGGTTATCCCAGTAGTTATGAATTGAGAAATGAAAAACGAACCATGTCGCGACGGTAGGCATATCGATCTTTCTGCCTGATAAAGGGCCAGGTCTCTTGCCGTTACACTGGCTATCAATTGGGTGAGACATATTTGCCTTGTCCTAACGCAGGGTATATAGGGTAGATTCATCGTAAAAGCAGCAGAGTGCGAGTACGAAAGTTCGCTCGGTATAGCAGGTGTATCGTGTGATATTGGTTCTTGGTACGGGAGGTAACCTCGGCCTTGGGTTGTCTGTAGTCCATCCGTCCTTAGGTAGGATAAGTGCCTCCCTAAGCAGGCCCAGGTCACTGTCATCGGCTATATCATCGGCTAGTAAGCCGGCATTGTACTCGGTGGCTAGCAGAGGGTCATCATTAGTATCGGTACTATCAGCAGCTGTAGCATCCTTGTTAGGGTCGATGGTCATACTGCAACGGGCGCGAGCGCATCCCCGTGAAGCGCGAGGACGACGCCTGCGACCCCTGACAGACCTCTGGCCAGGCATATTGATAGAGGTAAGGGGAGGATGATAAATGGTGCATTCAATAGAGAACTGAGAGATGTAGGAGCAAGTGAATGAAAGCCGTCGAAGAAACTGAAAGGTACAGAAATATGTACAAAGAAAGAAAGAAACGAACTGCATAAGTTTGTAAATGACCGAGATGATTTCGCAGGCGTCGGAATGCCAGTGGTATGTGTCTTCAGTGTACTAGAACATATATTAGCAGTAAATCCCAAAGTTCTTATAAATCTCCATTTCATACCTTTCCATCGTCACGAAGATGAATAAACCACCACGCATTACTGTCCGTAGCAATTCCATAGACAGACGTGTCAGAAGCCCCAGCCCGTTTTTTAGGGTCCCGGATCATGGCCATGTAGGCTAAACATCGGTACATCCCCACTTGTGTCAAACCAGGACTTTTAGTCCCCATCATAGCCATATTGGTGGCTAGGTTCCCAGCCTGTCCAAACTAAAGAGAATAGTCCACGATGCCGGAGATGATGACATTCTTCTCTCCGAGAACCCGCTCGCACTTGATCGCGAATTCGTATTTCAAATGGAAGGAGTTAACCGAATTGATACTAGAGATAGACGCAATAGATCCGATCGAACTTCGGGGATTGTTGCACTCTCGCTTCAAAGAACAAGAGTAGATAGGATAACTGCATCAACCCGAGACCAGATTACGTCTCGCTCGCGGGCGAACTATTCGTGACTAGGTCATAGTCACTCAAGATTGGGACTGTATTTGTTAGTATACATATAAGTTTAAGCCGGGACCAAACTTACTCAAATAATTTGGGGCATGAACTATTTCGGCCTGCCCAAGGGACGGTTCACCTGGATCCGGGGCAACCGGGGTCAAATGGAAGATGCCAGCAATTTCACCCAATTTTAGACTCGTAACCGCAACGCTTAGTAGCTCGGGAGCGTTGATCTTGACGCTAGCAGCGCGAACGAGTTTCTGGATTTCGTTGGTGCCATCAATGACATCTTTGTTCTTGACGAATTTGTTCACATTTTTCGTCAATGATGCGACCTTGACTTGAAGGTTGGGGACTAGAGCATCCATGTTGAGGGCCATGCACTGTTGATGGAATGAAGTAAAAACCGTGCAGATTTTATAATGGGTTACAAGAAGAGAGGAGGAAGAAAGGCCTGAGGACAAAGTGAAGATTTAATAAGAGATAACTGAAAAAGAATACCTTAATAATATAAAGACTAGGACAGATAAATAGAGAGTAAAGATCAAGTAAAGTGAAAATGAAGGTGTCGTGAGAGCAAAGTGCGATAGGGAACTTCTGGTCATGTATCAGCCACTTGTAAGAAGGGGTGGTTACGCCCAGAACCTCGAATGAAGGTCTATATTGTAGGGCTAGGATAAACAGAAGCTTGGCGACGCTAAACCAAATTTAGAAGGGAGGGCGCTATTCCCGAAATGGAAGGGAGAATGCGGGGTCAAATTATATGACGTCACTAATAGCTTACTAATCACGTACGGGGATTCACGGGCAAAAATCGATGCGCCCACCTTTTGCTCATGGTACGGAGTACTCCAAGCTATATAGCTATCTCTTAAGCTATATACAGCGTAATAGGTAAGGTAGCTAGAGCAGGGTCTGGATTCTTAATCCTGTAATAACTTACCTACTAAAGGAAAAAAACATTTATAACTACCAGGGCCAAAGTTAAGTTTATGCTTATGTTCTTTGTTTACTTTATTTTGATTCGTACATACCTCGGCTTTTCTATGTATATACTAGATTGTACCATGTTCTCAAAAGATGTATGATAAGCCTTTATATGCGTTCTTGCCCAGGTGGCGAGAAGCTTGATGACGGGGTGCTCCACACCCCGCCACTACGGGACATTTCTTCTCATATTCCAATCTCTCTCTGCTTTTCTTCATTCCAACATTGCATCCCTTGGCATTGGCTCTAAATGTCCGACTCCAGCTCCAAATTCCGCGATCTACCCCGCGCCCCGGGGCCCGTGATTTGCCCATACAAGGTGACCACACGTCCGCATTCTTTTTTGTAAGCTCCGATTCTCACACAGAACTAGGGAAACCATGTCCTCCATGGATCCAAATATAACAAAGGCTCGGCCTTCCCAGACCATGAGCGGTCGACATTCAAGCTCCACAGTCTCCTCCCGCCGAACATCCAGACATTGGATGAGCAAGTTCAGCGCGCTTATGAGCAGTATCAAAGCAGAGCAGGCGACCTAGCCAAGAATACCTTCCTGGCTAGCATGAAGGCTCAGAATGATGTGCTGTACTATAAGGTTCTGATATCTTGCCGAAGCAACATCAGCATGTGCATTATTACTAACCTGTGAATAGCTCGTGCAAACCAATCTCAAGGAGATGTTCAGCGTGATTTACACGCCTACTGAGGGAGATGCGATTCAGAATTACTCGCGATTGTTCAGAAAGCCTGAAGGGTGTTTCTTGAATATCAATGACCAGGATAACTTTGATGAGTATCTCTCTGGGTTTGGAACTGAGGAGGATGTTGACTATATTGTCGTCAGTGATGGGGAAGAGGTAATTATATATATGCTTGACGCCTTGACGGAGAGTTTGTGAGACCTTGCTTACCATTAATTGTTGGCAGATTTTGGGCATTGGGGACCAAGGTGTGGGTGCAATTCTCATATCGGTTGCCAAACTGGCTATTACCACGCTCTGTGCTGGAATCCATCCTTCGCGCCAGCTTCCTGTTGTACTAGATTGCGGTACAAATGTAGGTATACCTATTCTCTGGTCAACTCTACATTTGCTGACACCATGTGTAGAATGAGGAGTTGCTCGATGACAAACTGTATCTCGGCCTCCGACAGCGCCGGGTCAGAGGAGAGAAGTACGATGAGTTTGTGGACAGATTTGTCGCGGCTGCCCGCAAACGATTCCCCAAGGCTTACATCCACTTGTATGAGAAATGGTCCTTTCTACTGTTCGAAACGCAGCTAACAAGACCAGCGAGGATTTCGGTCTGGATAATGCTCGAAGGATACTCGATAGATATAAGTCAAAGATACCCTGTTTCAATGATGACATCCAGGGCACAGGATGTGTCACATTGGCCGCCATGTTGGCTGGCCTTGAAGTCAGCAAAGTCAATCTGGAGGATGTACGAGTAGTGATCTTCGGCTCGGGAACGGCTGGTACCGGCATTGCCGACCAGGTTTCAGATACCATCGCCACTAAGACAGGAAAGTCGAAGGACGAAGCATCAAAGCAGATCTGGTATGTAACTGCGAAAAAGGAAGATAAACACCCCCGCTAACACCATTCTTTCATCTAGGTGCATTGACAAGCCCGGTCTCCTTATGAAGTCCATGGGTGATAAGTTGACCGAAGGCCAGAAACCTTTCGCACGGAACGACGATGGGTGGTCGGACAGTGATCGAGATCTTCTGTCGGTCGTCAAAAAGGTTCGCCCCCATGTGCTTATCGGGACCTCAACCAAGCCCGGAGCATTCACCGAAGATGTCATCCGTGCGATGGCCGAGCACGTAGAACGACCGATTATCTTCCCGCTGAGCAATCCGACACGACTCCACGAGGCGAAGCCGGTTGATCTCTATAAATGGACCGACGGGCGAGCCCTCGTTGCCACGGGTAGTCCATTCCCGCCAGTCGCCCATGACGGCACGCAATTTGAAATCGGTATGTATCCAAATCTCGTCTCTGACATTGACTGTTCAGTATATTAACCATAATATTTCAGCGGAATGCAACAACTCAACCTGCTTCCCAGGTATTGGTCTGGGAGCAGTCCTCTCGCAGTGCCGTCTTGTGTCCAAGAAGATGCTAGTCGCTGCCGTCGAGGCACTCAAGGCACGGTCACCGGCCCTACAAGACTCTATGAAGCCGTTGCTACCCGATGTAGAAGATGTGCGCGAAATCAGCGTGGATATTGCCACCGCCGTGATTTTGTGTGCTGCGGAGGAGGGCCTGGCACAGGCAGAGGGCATCCCTACCACTGAATCGGAGCTACGAGAGTGGATTCGAATTCAGATGTGGGAGGCTGAGTATCGGCCTCTGGTCTATAAGGAGTAATACCAAGTCTTTTCTTGGTATGTAATATGGTTTTATTGATGATATAGCTTCTCATCTTGCTTTTCATGGCAACCATTCATTCCCATTTCCCATACAGCCATGACTCCCTCTGCTCAAGCAACAAGAGCGGCCTCATTCACAATTAACATTTTGCCTAAGCTCTGTATTTCCTTCCTACAAATGGTTACCGTTCTATGTAATAGTAATTGTTGTGCAATACTCTGCTACGTTAAATAGACTGACCCGATCCACAACCCTAATGATCTCCGTTGTCTTCATATTGATTTGTTGGCTCTGGTTACCATCACCATCCTCCTACAGACACCTGCATCCGATACAATCAGTCGATTGTTCACAAATCCCCACATCGTGAAATTCAATTTCTTCGGACGCAAATAACACATGGGGTTTTGTGTCTTCAATGGTCCACGATATAGTTTTAAGTCAAAAGTACCGAATAATCGTTCAATTGGCCCCAATATTTAGCCACCGTCCTTGTCCCCCATGCAAAAAACCCCTTTATCAGACTAAAACATAACTTGGGGCTTCGGTTTGCCCCGACTCGAGAATACCCTCATCGTTGCGACCGACACACCCGCTAGTCCAGTCCAATGACGTTGGGTCACAATATGCACGTCTGATTTGGTGGAAAGTCCTCATCAATGAACATGCTGTACCAAAGTTCATGCTTTCTTCCCAGGTTTGACTGAATGTTTCCCAAGGAGGGGACTCCTCGGGAAACGTAACTTGCTCCATATCAACAATTACCACTTTGCCTTGGTTGGGCTCCCCGTCGTCACAAAATAGGAAATTATCTAGCCTCTGATCCCAATATTTGGCTTCCTTTATAAATAACGCTCGAAGCGCATCCATAAGACCAGCCTGTAAAGCTTCCTCGTCAACCTCAATCGTATCGTCGCGGGCAATTGAGGAGGCCAGCGATGAGTTAGCTCATATCCGCTGGCGGCAAGAACAACATTCTTATTTGCTATTAGAGATAAGGAGCTGGCCCAATTCCTTTCTAATTAGCACTGAAACAGCACTTGAGTCCGGCCTAGCCTGAGAGTATACAACATAGGTTCGGCAAATGAAAATGCAGGATCGCCAAGAATTGTGAAGTCGGCTGATGAGGCTGGCAGATATTAGGAATTACTTCGCCTTGGTGGGAAAAGCCCTGGATGATTTACAGCCAGTTATTTTGAGTTGTGTTGGCACAGGAGGACCATTATTAAACGGATCAAATCAGAGACAAGTATCCGGACTTATAGCCATGGGAATTTGATAAAGCTGAGTGACTGTTTTGACAACTTAGTAGACAAAATTGGAGCAGCAAATTCTATACTCTGAATATTGATCGATCAAGCAAATCACCAGGGGAGACGAGAACGACCAGCCTTCTCAGCAAGAACACAATTAGCGAATAGATAATTCACGGTCTGAAAAATCGCCATACGAAGCAAAAGTCTTCAAATGTAATATGTTACAAACTGTTCAATAATATGGAGCCTATGTGAGCCAAAGATAAAAGAGTGCAAGCTAAAAAAACCGAGCGATTGAAACAAATAGGTTGACTTATGGAACCCATAAGCGCATGAAGCCTACGACTTCCTGGCGACAAGTCACGCAGCTGCCGAAGTTGTTCATGGCAAGGCTCACGCGACAGTCCTCGCAAATGCATAGACAGCGACAGGGCCAGGTGATAATGGCCCGTGGGCTTGTCTGGCAGACCACACAGGGTGGACCATTGGGTCCGAGGCCTGTTGCCCCGGATTCCCATGTATGGGAATCGGAAATGCCCGAGGTTTCTGAGCGACGGGAAAGGATGAGCTTCTCAAGGAGTTCAGCTTCCTCCTCTGGAGTAGGTTTCCGCCCTTCGGATTCTGAGTTCATGGCGTTCAGCTGCTGGAGGCGGGATGAGAAGATGATTCGGGATCTCTCCCTTTCAACTTGTTTCTGGTAGCGACTGCGCGTCATGATCTGTGGATTGTCCGGGTTTGTTTTGAGATGGGCGGCTAGAATCCTGGCCTCTTCTCTGCTCTCGCGATCGCGCGGGTCAAGAAGACGGGCGAGTGTGCTCATGTCGATCAGGGGATCTTGGAGTGGTGGGCTTGCCCTGTCTGCATACGGATCGAGCTGGGTAGGAGTTCGACGACCATCTTCCGATGGGTTATCCTCCCATTCTGAGTCCGAGGCGTTGGTAGACATGGACATCACGCTCGTGGTGTCGAAGTCATCAGAGGGCGGAGAATAATCAGAGGTTTGATCTTGGTTTCCCCATGCACCGCCAATTTTCCACCAGCTGTAGAGTCTGTCCTCTAGCCGGCTTTCATCCGAGCCCATCCAGTCTGGCCGATTCGCGCGCTCTCGCTTCCTCATCTCGATCTCGACATCAAAGTCATGGTCATCGGGGAGCTCAAGCTCTCCATTTTCCGAGAGAATCCAGAAATCTAATGGCTGTGATGGGTTCGTCTTGTCGGTATTAGACTTCTTTCCACGATGACCCACCATGCGTTTGAGCCACATTGGCCGAGCGTTTATCCCTAGTCGATCAAGCACATTGTTGAGTCCATATGCAACCCAACGGAGCATAAGGAGGGAAATTGCGCGGAAGAACGAGAGGACATGCCACAATCTAATCGATACTCGCACTGCGCCAACTCCCCCAAGCTCAGCTCGAGATTGTACGGCTCGAGTACCGTTCTTGGGTTTCTCAATCTTTTTTTCGCGGTTGTAGCCACTCTCCCAAGCAGATTGTTCTGGCATGTCGAAACTTGAGAAACCCATAGCCTCGATAGGCCGACTTCTGGTCTGACTCTGCCAGTTCCCATAAGATGAAGACTTCCGCCTAGAGGCTTCAATTTCAGAAAGGCGATCCTCTTCTAACCACGTCATCCGCCGTGCAACGACTGATTGGCCCTCGTTCAAGAACACGGCCTCACTTGCCGCAGTTAGGGCAACATACCCGATCCGAAGCAAGGTTGTATAAAAGTCTTCGTGTCTGTTAATACGGATGCTCCTTATCTGGTTCGAGCCTTGCATATTCTCATGCGCCATCAAGAAGCGGTCATAGAGGGAGACAGGTTGATCGTCCGATGGCAGCGAAAAAGCGGTGATTGTAAGTGCTAAAGTGTATATTGAGAGACAAATCACGATGCCGCCCAGTAAAAAGATATGAGGGATGAATCCCACAATGCAAACAGTCGGGAACCTGAGCACGCCAGTTTCGAGGCTGACGGGCGGACCGCCATCTAACCCCCACAACATGGCTATCATGAAGCAGGCACCCCAAAATGCAGTGCTGAAAAGCCGATATTTGCTCTGCTTGCCGAAGACTTCTAGTATGTGCGAAGTTGCACTATTGCAGCACGAGATCAATACAATAAGTAGCAGTTCGGGTGTGACATTCATGCGTTCCAAAACTTGCGACCTTGTGAGAAGTTCAAAGACCGAAGTTGAGTTAGCATCAGACCCACCAGAAAGCGCACTAAGAGGGCTTTGTTTAGGAAGACCGAACAGGCCTAGTCCGATAGATTTACTGATCATCGACTCGGCTTCTGCGAAGGCGATTGAGTGCTCGAAGATGGACATCCCCGTCTCAGTCATCACAGGCTTGCCTTGCAATGCGCAAGAGAGTGTTTCGATGAAGTGACTCAAGCAAAGGAGCATGAATGTCGGCCAGAGTAGGGAAAATGATCCATATGGGACACCCGGGTTGGTTCCGCGCGCCATCCTCACAGCAGTGCACGACCGTTCCTCAGATTCCCATCCTAAAAGGGTCGAGCTGATTGAGTAAAGAGCACCCCCATCACTGGAATAGTCGAATACGAGTTGCTTTCCGGGAGATCCGTAGCGCATTGTCGAAAAAGACGGCGATGTCTGACATCGGATTCCACGGAGCAGGCTGAGGATTTGGGAGACGAAGAGAAGGATAGGAATCAATCGGAGAGCCGCACGCCTTTCCCATCCTAATCGAAGGTGTCGCCGAGTGGACGCATAGATAGTAATTCGGTTTAGGATGAGCGCCTAGACCCATCAGCATGGTAAGTATACAAGTCAAGAGCGGGGTCTCACCTCCACCAGACAAGCAAATGACCAAAGACTTGTCAAATACCCAAAGAATCCACCAAGCTTCTTCATAGCACCCAAGAGCTCCGCAATGTAGTAGCCACTCTCCTGGCTAGCTGTATCGGCGAACTCATTTGCAGCCATCTCCGCTGCATGTGTTGCGGCTGTACCGCTGGCTCCAGCTGTTGGACCAGCCCCGCCCCAGATAGTTTGGCCAAGGGCTTTAATTCCAGTTATTCTAGCGAAAATTCGGGGAACCGTTCGGAAGGCAAAGGTCTCGGCGTGTTGAAAGGCGCGAAGGGGGGAGGTCAGGAGTTGATGCGGCAAAGAGGACAAAGGAGAAGCCTCCGGTGATAATGTTGTATTCAAATGTTGTAACAAAGCCGCACTAGATGTTGGTATTGAGGAGGGTTCCACGACGCTTGACATGATGAGTCGGTGTTGTATGCGCCTCTGCGGGTGACCCTTATCAGCGATCCGGGGGAGATGCAATCAACACAAAAGGCTGCTAGTGCATCCAACTGTAGGCACAAGCAAATAGAATGTTCAATAGCCGAAAGATATTACAACCAGACTGAACACCACAGTGAGCAATGCTCCTGTGAACTGCATCCCGCAAATCAGAATGTATGAAAGAGTGATCTTCACGATGGCGGGCACTTCCTTGGAAGTTCGCCCCGGTGGAGCCGGCCCCAGCCCTCTCGAGGTCCCGTCATTATTTGCTGACTCAGCCACCGGAATGCCCGAGGTCCAGCCTAAGTTGATATTGGCCATCTTAAGGATAGAACTCTATGATATGATATGATTTCTTGTTCAATTTGTCTCCTATAATCCAAACGCTTTGCCAGTGGTAGATTGACAAAGCGCGTTAACATTGGAAAGTGTTGATCTGCCATCATCTTTAGACAAATTCGGCCATAGATGTATTAACCGTTTGCATATGCTCAGATGGGATAAGAGGTCTTCTACAAAGTTCCAGAGTACCGCTACAGTAAAGAAGGAAAATACTTGCATAATGTTAGAGCACTGTATCCCATAGAATACATGCCATGACATAACGCCATGACCAAGCCTATATATGTGAGCTAGTCTGGAACTCCCCATGGTATTATCGTAAAAGTCGGATTTTTGTGTCATTGCGCCGTGAATCATTTCAAAAGCCATGTGAGCCGAAACAAGGATAAGCGATACCTGAGGTCTCAGTCAAGGAAGTGATGAGAGACCAAAGGCTAAAGGCGCCACGTGGGAATCAAGTATTCAAGAAATCAGCAGCCATCAGGAGCTCCAGGCACAACTCAGGTGGAATATCCATGTCCGGCACGTTGACCTGGTCCTTGTGCTTTTCATTGTAGCAAAAGTATTCGCAGATCTTTTCGACAATGACACCGCTGCAGAGAAACAACATTAGCAATGCCCACGAAAGGGAAAAAGGAATGTAAGGGCGAAACGTACGAGTAGTCCTCCAAGACACATACACCGGTGCGACCCTCGGGGAAATTGTCTGTGCGTGGTTAGTACGACCCATGCAGCAATGAATCTCGAGTCCACGTACTCGAAGAAAGCATCCGCCGTAAGGTCTCTGAGACATAAGCTGCGCTGCGAGGGATAATGAATTCAAATTTGTCGCTTGAGACTATAGTCACAAACTCGGTTTCCGTGGATGGCGCCATGATGAAGTCCGCGTATCCGCGTAGTTGTAGGAAAGTGACCGCTGTGGAGCGAAAGAGCCTTCTGAGGTTGCCGTGTTGGTCCGTGCTCAAGCTGCCCCAGTGACGCACCTGATGTTCCCGATATCGCGTTTTGCTTGGAGTTGAGACAAGGTGAAACAATATGGGCAGCTTGCGAGTTTCTTTGGTTCGCATGCGAGTGCCAATCCTCTTTCTTCGAGCCTCGTCAAGGCCGATCAGTACACGCAATGTAGGCTACGTCAACAGTCGAGTATCAAGTCTTCCTCTGGGATATACAAAGCGGTTATACTCATCTCAGCCAAATGAAAACAACCACAACGTTTCATTTCAACCTGGAAACCGACTTGCCGGCCGAAGATGCATGATCACCGGCGGGACATCCGGCATCGGCTTCGCCATTGCCGAACGATTTCTACAAGAAGGCGCGTCCACCATAGTCCTCGTCGGCCGATCTCAAACACGCCTAGAAGAAGCAGCCGCAAAACTTGGCTCTCTTATGGGTATACCACCAGAAATTGGTGAAAGCAACGATGAAATCGCAACTCGCACCCCGGAAGAAGACAACCAGCAAAGTACGCAAGGAAAGATCCGTCTACTTGTCGGAGACGTCTCAAATGCCGGATCATGGATGCGGGAACTCGAAAAGGAGATGGTAAGCTATCTCATCCATCTCAATAAATACTCTCATCCTAATCACCCTCTAGGCAAACGTAGACATCCTAGTCAACGCAGCAGGAATTTCGATATCAAACATCCTGCCAAGATCCGAGCTAGAAGATATCTCGACAATCCTTCGTACTAATCTCGAAGGCGCAATACTCACTTCGCGCGCATTAATGCGTGCTTCTATCCGAAGCCGGGTACGGAATCGGAGTGATCCAACTGCGGGGACGAAACTCCCATCAAAATGCATTATTAACATATCCTCTCTACTCGCGCTCAAGGGCGGGACTGGCGCAGTTCCATACGCTGCTTCCAAGGCTGGCCTTCTCGGTCTAACACGGTCATTAGCAGTGGAGGCGTCGGCTTCGATGAAAGATATTGTCATTCGTTCGAATGCTATCGTGCCGGGGTATATTGAAACACCCATGGTTGCAGGTATGTTGGTTTGGGCATCCTATATATGTGCGTGAATTGACTGACCTCGATAATAGACTTCACCCCAGGGGAAACGAGCAGGCTGAAGGATGTCATTCCTCTTCATCGATTTGGAGATCCACGCGAGATTGCTGATGCAGCTGTATTCTTGGCACAGAATGAGTATGCCAACAATTGTGTGCTCAATCTTGATGGTGGATTAAGTGCAGTTTGATTCGATCCAAGTGAGATGTGTAATACCAATCAATAAGTCAAAATACTCCAACAGCTGTAACAACTATGTATCTCATCCACAATCAAACGAGTTGATCCACCATTGATCCTAGCAAATGCGGTAATTGTTCCTCCGCAAAGGTCCTGTGCTTCACAATATTTACGACGACGTGCTCTCATATCTCTCTTCGAGTTCTCAAGTGAGCTGGCCAGTTTGAAGCAAGAACACCTCCATTCCGTTAACTATTTCGTGAATGCCTGCAGGATTCAGCTCAAACGCAAGTTTGATACTTTGCTCAGCTGGCCGTGTTGTTATTCTCAGGTCATACTCTAGTAATCTATCAAACCAGAAAACGCCACTGAGCAGTTGAGACACAAAACCCCAAAATGAATACATTATCATGCCCATATCCAAAGCATGCTCGTCAACCTGTGAGTTCGAACCCTGTTGACTGAAAACAGGTTCGCCTTTATGCCATATGATACAGAAGAGGTTGAAGGGGGTAGTAAACAAATAAAAAAGGGGAATTCTGAAAGTATGAAGAGAATGATGTCAAGATAAATACCTGCGAAGGCTGCTGGTAATACCTTGCGATGCCACGCGAAAGTCTGTTTTCGGCATTCAATCGTCGATCATGATGGCACCTCCCTCATCATCGTCCTCAAGAACGATAGCCTCAATGCCCTTCGAGTCAGGAGCGGATACACTAGCGACCCGTTTAACATCGTGGCTGCTGAGCTCCACCTCGTCACTTGAGCCCTCACGCTTGCGCTTCCCGGTCACAATTGCATCACCGGCAGTAGTTGGAAGATCGCTAGAAGGCTGCACAGGCTGCTTGGGCTTCAAGGGTATCTCGACCATCTTCTGCAGCGTCGCGGGCTTGGAGTCTTTGGAAGATGGCTCATTTCTGCAAATCAATCAGTCAATATTGCCTAGTATTCTTGACAATAAAGCGCTTACCTTGCAATGACCACCAGCTCGAGATTGATCCGCTCTGGTTCATTCCCATCGTATACCGTGATGAAGCTTTCATTCTTGATGCCGAGGTCGAACAACTTTTTCTCCAGATTGTCGGTGAAATCGGGGTCATAGATCGATTCACTGCCAAAACCAACAGAGATCTCTTCGCTATAACCCAGCTCCGTCTGAAGAACGCCTTGAACGAGGTGTTCAAGGGTTGCTACCTCGGGATCAATTTCGACCCGAGCCACCACAGGGGAACAGACCGGGCAATCGGGGTTTGGGGGGTTCAATGAGTCTGAATTGATCGCACGAGCACCGGACCTTTCCAGGAAAACCTTTCAGAGAAATGGCTTGTTAGCTTTAGTTAGTGGGCGCTCTTGTTGGTTCTTACCATTTTGGCCTGCATCAAGTTGTTTTGGAACACCTTCAATGACTGAAGAACACATAGCCCAGCCGTCATAGCATTGGTGGTTGCGATAGCAGGAATGATATTGCCCGCCATTTCTGTAGAAGCTGTGTTAATACTGATCGTCTTGAAATGTGCACCGTTATTTGATAGACTCACGCTTGACATCGAATTTCGATTTGAGTTCAAGGTGGAAAATTGCAGCTCGTAGATTAGCTGTTGCGGTAACAAAGTCCAAAGTGTCCACGTCATCTTTGTCGAATATCAAGGCCGGGGAATCTTGGCCTGGGGGGTTGTTTGCTTGAAGTTCCTTCAGACGTTGGGCCAACCGGTTCAAGCTGTAGCATGTTAGTTTATCGAACATATGCTATCGCTGACAGACAGTCCCTACCTATCCCTAAAAACACTAAAATTCTCCCCCAATGTCCACACTTTCTGGTCATCCGTGGAGATCGTCGAGTCGATCGAAGCAGATTCTTCTTGGAGTTGAGCAAAGTCAAGAGGCTCTGGTGGATCCCTTTCCTTCCACATTTCCTTCATGTCTTGTAATCGTATTGTGTCCCTTCGGAAGACTTTATCGAAGACCTTCTGGTAGGCTTCCTCGGTGCCGATCGATTGTCGCAATTCTTTGAGCTCCAGTGCTTCCTTGCGTAGGTCTGCAATTTCATTTGCTAGCCGGACGTCAGTTTCAGCGCCTAGTTATAGATTAGACTGAACCAACCGTTATCAGCGTCTTCTGTGTTATCCACCTCCGCTGCCTCATCTTCGCTATAGCCGAAAAGTTCCCTACTCAAAGGTGAGTATACAAAGCGTACAGATTTGGAACTGGATCTTACGGCAAGAGGAAGCTCTTCGCCCAAACTATGCAATGGATTGGCTGGCTGGGGTTGCTGCGGATCGTACACACGGGGAACGACTTGGGTGTTTGTTTCGGGGTGCAATCGTAGCACTCGGTTTGTGACTAAAATAACGCGCGTCAGAAGACGCCCAATTTGCGAAGCCGGGCATCAGTTTGGCTGCATACCTTTTGAATAACTTGCACTTGGCCATTGAAGCCTGTAGTTCCACTTTCGATCAAGGGTACATTGGCTGCAAGGCACATCTTGTTCACATGACGTCTTGCGGCGATGTTGTCCAGCGCATTGAACACGACGTTGAAGGATTCGAACCACGAGACGTTGAACTGGGCATCCATAATGTTCGCATGGTAGGCCTCGAGCTTTGCGTCAGACCGGAACTTTTGCGCAACCTCCTTGGCAACCTAGATGAAAGCATCCATATCTCAGTATTCCATATCACCTATCGCTGAACCGCTCACACGATGTGAATGCGCTGCGCTTGAGTCGGGGAGGATTCGCAAGGGAGCGGCGCAAGTGCGCGGGGTGGTCGGTTGGACGTACTAAGGCCTTTGATTTCTTGATATGCTCATGTCGAAACAGGAACTGACGATTGAGATTGCTCAAATCAATAGTATCGAGGTCGATGATGTGAATTTCGCCGAAGCCGGTGAGGACGAGGTTTTTCAGTAGCTCGCAGCCGATGCCGCCTGCGCCGACAAGAAGAACGCGTGACTATGTGTGATGAGAGAACCGTCAGAATAAATTTTCAAACAACATCACTTAGACCTCAGGATTGAATACCAGCAGAGCTGTACTTACCTCTTTGAGGGAGCGGGTGAGGTCCACCCCGAGGGAGCGCTTAATGGAGCTATCCCGCATGGCGGGCAGTAGATGATGATCGCGATCAGGTGGTGTTGTAGTGTTGGAATAGTTCGGTACTGTAGTGCTGTAGTAGCGCGTCTGTTCTAGAGATAAGTTGCGAAGGGGGAAAAGGTCAAAGAAGGAGCAAGTGAAAGAAGTGCTGAGCCGGGAACAGTGACCGTTGGCGATGACGGCACTTGCTGGGAGCCTCACACGTGGGTTTCCGCTTCCTTTCGGTCTACGCCTTTTTTTATTTGCTTTTTCTGTGATTGAAAGAGTAAAATGTAGTTGTAGAGTGAAATTTAATTGACGTTGTTTTCTGATCTTTTCTCATCTTCTGGTCCTTATAAGTGATCATTTGCATTATCGCACTGTATACTGGCGCATACACTGGCGCATATACTCTGATCGCCCTTTTAGATGATAAATGAACGTGAGTATGATCTCAAAATAAATGTGCCTGTTTATGGTCATGACGATGCTATCCATAGTTATATCTTTCTCAGGTACCAGGTAATCTAGACCTGCAGACCCTGTGTCACTGCAAACCATAATGTACAGACCTCTCTTGCACTTATAGCCATTGCCCCTAGATCAAACCCTCAATATCACTGATCTATACCACAATAGCGCATATCTGAGAGCTTTCCAGATACATTATGGGCATATTGTGTCTGCTTACATAACCGGTGACTCTATCCAGAGACCATCGGGACAAAATCTCGGTGTGGCAAGAAAAAAAAACACCGGTCACTCAAAGGGTTCGCCGGATTCAAGTAATTTTATATCGCACCTTGCTTGTTAGAGCCTCAAAAGATTCGAATATCCAGGTGGGGTGGAATATCGGCCGGGTCTAGCTTCTCACCGCAGGAATCCTTCCACGCGATATCAAAGGAGATACCCCTGACTCCACATCTTCCATTTGTTTTCAATCAAGATCAAGCAACACAAGGAGAAAATATCATGCCATCATTGGATCCAATTCCGGCTCAGAGAAATGGTCAGGTCGAAGCCAATTCCGACGATGAAGCCGACCCTGAGTTGGTAGAGCTTCTTCGCCAGCATTTCGGACTGGGCGAAAGACCAAAGGATGCCCCACCAGAAACTAAAGTGCTCGAGGGGGCTCAGTATGTCTTTGACAACGCAATTGATATTGCGGTCAGCCTTGCTCACACCAAAGAGGCTGCCGAAACTATATGGAGTATGATGCAGAAGAAAGAGTATTCCACGCACACCTGGTCGGAGCACGAACTACACCCAAAAACCAAAGATGAAAGCACAGTCGACTTCATCTTCACAATGGATTTGCTGAACTTTAGTTTCTGGTCTGAGGAGGATGAAGAGCCAAAGCGTTTCTGTATTGAGTATCGTGGCGAGCTGTGGACGGGCTATTGGAGTCTGGTTGCTGCTCTACAAAGAGCTCTTGATGAAGGTCGGTTCCTTGCTCTAACTCTACTTCTGGAATAACGAGTACTTACACCAACGTCAGATATTCCAATCACAACCCCCGACTTCTGGGTGGATGAAGAGAGGTGCACAGACGAGCTACTCCGACATGTATTCCGGTCTGCAACAGATGGAGAGATTCCTATGTTCAAAGAACGAGTGCAGTGTCTACGTGAAGCAGGCGAAGTCCTTTGCGAGGTATGATCCCCACCTTAGTTATATGAGCTATACTAAGCGGAGATAGGAATTCGGCGGCAGCTTCGTCAACTGCATTGACAGTGCCAATCTCTCCGCTGCAGGACTGGTCAATATATTGACAGAGAGCTTTGCCTGCTTCCGCGATGAGACGGTCTTCCACGGAAAGAGAGTGCGACTCTACAAACGTGCTCAGATCCTAGTCGCCGATCTCTGGGCCTGTTTTAATGGCGAAGACTTTGGTGAATTCCATGACATTGACAAGATCACCATGTTCGCAGGTATGCCTCTCGCAAGCCTTACAACTCCCTCAAGCCTAATCTAACCATACATAGACTACCGCATTCCGCAGATGCTGCACCAGCTGAACTGTCTTCGCTACGCGCCTAAATTGGAAAACCATATCCGCGACCTGAAGCCCATCGAGCCAGGCTCAAACTGGGAGATTGAGCTCCGTGGAACGAGTATCTGGTGTGTTGAATTGATCAAACGAGAGATCGAAAAACAACACCCTGAGGTCAAAATGAACCGCCGAAAGCTCCCTTCCAAGGGTATCTCAGACGACAATGAGAGCAACGAAACCGACATTTCGGATGAGTTGGAAGAGAAATTGAAGATTGTGGAGAAACCACAAAAGACATATGGCATCAATGCGATCCTCATCGACTTTTTCTTGTACGATACGATGAAGTGCCTGGAGGCAGAGAACAATGAGTCCATTCCTCATCACCGAACGAGGAGTATTTGGTACTGAGGTTAGTAGTTATTGGGTTTGGCGTCATTGACGGGGCATGGAGTTAGGTTACCAGAATGGTGCCTTGGGACATTGGGTTGCTCTGGAGCAAAAGGGGCATACCATCAAAATATAGACATAACGGCGAAGCCGCTTTCTTTACTTATCGAGGATGAATATAGAATTTACATGTTGATTCATATCTTAGGGTATCAATTAAACTAGCAGGCTGCGTCCTATTTGGAATAATCGTTTAAGCCGCTGCACCTTCGATGCGGGCCATGATATCCGCTTTCCAATTCACATAGTCCTCTTGACGATCATCACTCAGCCAGTCAATTCGATCTTGCATCATTGTCCCCAGGCCAGGCAAAAGACCGCCCCGCGGAGCATGGTCGGACTGCGAGGCACGAGGCCCACTACCAGCCGCCGAACGTTTAGGCGGCCTAACGCCCCTGAGTGTCGCATCCTCTTCGTCTAGGTCTTGGTAGGACCTGCCTTCCTCGTCTTCGCCATAGAGCTGTCCAGCATAGGGGATATTCTCAAACCATTCCTGGTCATTGGCCCATCCTTGCTCCATGATAAGAGTGATCCATTGGTCAACATCGTCGCGATGCCTCCGGTCATTAGCCTTCAGCCCAAGGCTGTTCAGTGCCGTCTGGCGCATTTCAATAAATGTCTTTTTATCCATCTTCTGCGCTTCGATATCCGCCTCTGCATCTGGTCCGGGGTTACGCCGACGGGCGAGCACAAGGAAGTATACAGCAACAACCATGGCGTAAACCAATTCTTTGAAATCATCATCCTTCTCAGATCCATCGATGGACACAATAGGTTCCAGGAAATCCAAGCTCTCCCGGTCCCATCCCGGTTCGTCATTCGACATGCTCGACGTAAGATAGAGGACGGACGACACGCCAGAAAATATATGCGGTGGGAGGGTCCTCGAGATTGGAGGCCTAGACCAGGTATTTGTGCGCGGGGCAGGTGTCGAAAGAATCTTGCATACAGTCCGAACGGCTGTCATTACCCAAGCCGGGGCGTCTGGAATGATAGTTGACCCATAAACATCCTTCGTTCGGGAAGCTGTAGCCTTTTTTGCCGATTTCGAGGGACTCTCCAGCCGGTTCGCCGTGCTCATACTTCGTTTCAAGGGTGTAGACTTCGAAGGTGTATTTTGTAGTCCTCGTGGTGTTGGAGCTAATGCCCTGGAAGGGGTGTTCCTGGCTGCCGCGCCCTTCGTCGGTGTTGTCTGCGTTGAGCCGGCGCGTGAGGGTGTTCCGGGAACCGATACGCTTGCTGGGCGTTTGATACCGGTAGAGCTTGAGCTGAGAGATCGGTCGAGGTATGAATAAAGCTTTTTGTATATGCGCGGAGGACATGGTGGACGTCCGAGCAGCGGAGGTAATTTAAGAGCCCGGGTCAACCTAAGGAAGCAATATACAAGCAATTAGCATCTTAAAATTAAGCCAGCCATAGAAAGACCTCATTCGGGACCTGTGGCACACCTTCTGCAAGCGATTTCAGCGCAGGCATAAGGCCGAGCAATTTCCTCTTCCGGCTTCAGACTGCTCGAGAAGCTCCGGGACTGTGCCACTAGTGACATTGCATAGCTGAGAAGTTCTTGCGGGAGGTCATTGGCATGAGTCGGCACCAATGTGCTCAACGCCTGTTCCACCGGCCGATTGTTCATTGTTCTTGAAATGGTTGTCCGAGGAAGGGGCTAGGGGCCAGGGAGGATATGGCTGGGACCAGGCAGGACAGGGATAGTTAAGAAGGCAAAAAGCAAAAGGTAGTTCCCGAGAACCTTTCTGCGTATTTGAATTTAAATTGAGCCAACTGTGTCTGAACTGAAGGGACATCTGCGATTGCCCGGCGCATCGATAAGAAAAGTGTGACTAAGCACTATATCAGGCCCCGAGGCACGGGGTACCTCGATGCCGCCTCTTGCACAGTATTACCTTACAAAATCCCCTAAATATGTCTGTTACAGTAAGTTCACATATAAATACCACTTCCAATGTTTCTGCAGCTCTACCTTCTACGGCAAGATGCTAATTACAACTTGAACAGTTACACACCACCCAAGGCGACCTCAAGGTCGAGCTTTTCTGCGAAGCAGTACCCCAAACCGCAGAGAACTTTCTCGCCCTCTGCGCATGCGGCGCATACAACAACACCCCATTTCACCGCCTCATCCCGGGATTCATGGTCCAGGGCGGAGACATCTCTCTCGGCCCCGCCGCGCATCAAACAAGCATGAAACCAATGCTCGAGTTCGAGATCCCAAAAGGCGGCACATCGATATACCACCCGGCAGCAATGAACCAAGAAATCCACCTCCCATCGTTGCGACACAATGCGCGAGGCATTCTGTCTATGGCATCTCGTCCGGTGAAGGACAGGACGGCGCCTGGCTCTCAGGGCGCAACGGGCGCTACGATCAACGGGAGTCAATTCTTCATTACGTTCGTGCCGGCGCCACATCTTGATGGCGCCAGTACTGTGTTTGGGAAGGTGTTGAATTTGACCCCCCAGGACGAAGGGGGTGATGTTCTTACAAATATCGAGAAGGCGAATGTGAAGGTCGATAAGAAGGGGAAAGTTTCTCAGCCCAAGGAGGGTGATGACTTTGAAGCATTCAAAATCAACAACGTTACTATCCACGCGAACCCATTCGCGAAGTGAGCTCTTTGACGCTGAATTCTCTCATGAAAACAGGATTGTGTCCCAGGATCAATCCCCAAGAGCCACGCTCAGGTTGAACACAGCTGCTACCTGCAATCCTATCATGCGAAGCCCAAACTACTCGCTCCCTAGTTATCGAGTCTGGCTGCTTACCAATGTCTCTCTGCTGGCTTTCTCGCTCTGTCTTGCCAGCAACATTAGGTGGTACCGCCAAATACGGCACACTCCATTGGAATCACTTTCGAGAAGTGGGTCAAGAATATGGGTCGGCACATCTTGCCTGATGATGAACACTTGCTAGCAAAGCTAGGCGCGATCAGACTACTCAATGGATCAAAAGAACAGAGAGACACAAGAGGGAGCTATATCGAGGTATCGAACATATCCAACAGTGTCAATTATTATCATAACTCCTGAATTAGATCACGACATCCGAAAAAATATCTAAGTACAAAGCAGCCCATGATTTCTATTTATAAACCTCGCATTCCATCCAGTTGTGTCCAACCCTCTCCAAGGCGAAATAAATCCTGCAAAATTCCAACCTGCAGTTCTACTTTTGTCTGATCTGACTGCGCCGCATAATTCAAGAATGACAGAGCCGAGCATGACATCAAGAACCGAAGGATTTCGATGCTTACCGGCGCTGCTGCATTCCCAAGATATGCCTCTACAAAATCGGTAGTGCTCTCCTGCATCTCCTGTCGCGTAAGGCCATACTGTTCGCCTGTTCGTCGCAGCATATGCACAAAATGGCCTAAATCTCGTTCCGGTACACCAAGCGGCTCACCGTTCTCATCCAAAGAACAGTGTAGCGTCGTCGTGTCGATCATAGTGACATGCCCTGTCGCGCGGTCATAGAAGAAATTCCCAGGATGGGCGTCCCCATGTACGACAGTGGTGCGCGGATGACTAGCAATATCACGCTTGCAATCGGCAATAAGTTGATTCATTTTCTCAGGGAGCTGGTCGGCTTCGAGTCCCGCGGAACGAATAAGGTCTTTGTACAGCAATGCCTGCTGGACTCGTTTTGTTGCTGCGTTAAAATACCACTGGAGATACTCTGTGCCTGGTCGCCCTTCAACGCTATGAGTGTGTAATCTGGCTAAGGTACGTGCGACTGCCTGTACGCCAGCAATGAAGGCGGATAGCATGTCTCTTCTCGCAGGTCCCGGCGGTAGGGGGCCCATCTGCATCATGAGCTGATAAAGGGATACCCCGGGGGCAACTTGATATGTGACCACACCAGCTGGTTTCGTATCCCACGTCATCTGCCCAACGGCCAACGGGGCGGCAGTCTTGATGTCCCCCTTTGTATGCAAAAGAAGCCATTCTAAGCTTGACAACTCCTCCGTGATGCCATTATCCAAGCCGTGGACAAACAGTTTAACCACAGCAACCGCACGGTCATTAGATGACAACGTTGTCTCTCCATTGGTAAGTCCATCGTTGGCAAAAGCAAAGAAAATGATAGCACCAGAAAAGCCCCCGGGATGAGTGGGATCCAGACTCCGCAAGTTGACAGGACACCCAACAGTAGCAGACACATGCTCTTCTAGCGCCGAAACAGTCGGGGCTATCTCTGGAAGATTTTGCATTACTTCATCGGCCTGCTTTAAAGTCGGCTTTCCGCTTCGATTTCGCGTTCGTGCAGCTCGCCGCATTGACGATACCACGCTCATCCCAAGCGATGGACGAGACCATGATGAATAAGCCAGTGCAACGCTGCCATGCGCCATCTGCACTGTATCTCCCTCACCCTCCATCGCGGAGCGAAGCAGAGCCTTAGCGGCGTGTTTCCACGAATAACCTCGCATGATTCGCTGTAGAGAACGAGCATGCCGTCTCGTTTGCTCCGGGTAACATCTTACCTGGTCGATCCGATAAGCCCAGACGGCTACGCGCTGGCTTGTCGGTGAAGGGACAATTCCATATGTGCTCTCGTCCATCACCACACAGGCTTGGCCAAGTCCCAGCGGAATGCGAGTGCGATCAAGCGCAAACTGACCTGCGCCACTTTCCTGCGTCACTAAGATGGGAACGCCCAGTCCGGCCACTTCGGTGAAAATCATTCCGAAGCCTTCGTGCATCGAGGGCATTATGACCAAATCCGCGTTACAGTAGAACCGCGAGACCGCGTCGGGGTCATCGGAGAAAGGGTGCAATCTGACGAGGTCTGGCATGCCCGTCATCTCATCGACGGCTTGCTGCCAGCGCTCCACGTCTTCTGCCGGGAGCCCCAGTACGTCCAGGGAGATCTCGTTGCCAGAGAGTGCGATCTTGCGCACAGCGTACACGGCGTCGTCTAAGCCTTTGGCGGGATCATCTGCTCGACCAGCGAGGAGGACCCGAAACAGGTCGTTGGGCTGTCGCTGTTGCGTGCAAGCATCGCCCGTGCGCACGCCTGGAATTAGTTCATGGAAGCGAGGTCCTGTCATGTTGGATCGTGGCCGATTGCATTGGCCCATCCACTCGCGTTCGCGTGCTTCAGTTGTGAGTACAGGCCCTACTCCAACGGCCAAATCTGCTTTTGGAAGAATCCTCTCGTCGAGCATTGCTAGCCGAGCGGCTTCAACATAGCCTTGCTCGCGTGTTTGTCCGTACCACTTCCATGCGATGTCGGACTTGCGCAGAGCACTGGTATGTGTGATGAGCGCGAGCTTGGCTGTGGGATACCATCTCTCGCGTATCAAGGAAGCTGCGGTGCTAGAGTATCGCGAGTGGCCAATGATGAGATTGAATGGGCATGGATGCTGGTCATCTGGAATGGGCAGACCATAATCTCCTGGCTGTTGAACCTTCGCCACATGGTAGAGCAAGGCACCGGGGTCGGCTCCCCTAGAGGGAATGCAGACTACTTTAGCACGACCATGCCCTGGCCATGCCAATTCATTCTCAGGCTCTACCATGAATAGAGTAACTGATGCATTGGGGATTTCTGACATGGCCTTGACTAGTTCTTGATTCAACAGAGGCAGACCTCCTTTACCTGGCCCACTGGCATTGGCAAGGACGAGCACTCTCCAAGGTTGGGTCTTTTCGGGCGAGATATTGACAAGACGTTCCCATTCGAATTTAACCTTTTCGCTGAGCTGGAGAGCTTTATGTTCATCGCATGATGTATCTTGCTTTTCCACAGCAGACCATAGTCGAGATAGTTGTGTGCGTGTTTTGAACAACCGTGCAAGCCCTTCATTGATTGGTATACCCTGCGCCTGGTACGCTTTCCAAAACTCCCTCTGAACCTGGCCAATATCAGCTTCACTCATTCCGAAATCTCCGGCATACTTTCGCAGTCGCTCGTGAAACCCAGCCGCATCCATTTCCGCCGGTCCAATAGGTCGGCCGCTCGCATCTATCGAGCGGGTCAGTCCCCCGTAGTCGATCATGGTAATTCCTTGAACGGGGTCCCAGAAGAAATTTCCCGGCGAGGCATCGGCATGCAGTAGTGAGGCTACACCTTCTTCCCGTGAATATTCAATCGCTCGGTCAACCAATGAGGCCAATTGCTGTATTTTATCAGATCCAATAGCGCGTTCATACTGCTTTCGCGATGGGCCCTGAATCTCTTGGACCCAACCTTGTAACTTGTTGCGGAGTCTTTCGACGACAGATTCGCTGGCACTGCTCCATTCGGTCTTTTCCCGGTGCAGCTTGGCCATTGTTAATGCCACTCCTTGGACGGCGGAAATCAAGTCGGCCATCAGTCCATTGAATTGACAATCCAACATCTGAGCAGTTGGGATATTAGATGATTGGATTTGTTGTGTTTTATGATTGATTGAGATCCCATGGAGTGCACCGCGAACAATATCATTCATTATTTCCCTTGTTTCGTCGGGACAAGGCTGCTTTGCGATCCGTCGGAGAGTGGAGACTCGGCCAATGTCACGGATAATTGTGTTGATTGCCTTACCTGCTGCGAGCTGGTAGACAATCACTCCGATAGGCTCTGCGGTGTTCTCATCGCGCGTCCTTCCCACTCCAAGAGGCCGAGCAGCAGACGGTGGATCGGAAAGAGATATCAACCTCCGATATGCAACGAGCTCTTCAAAGAAGTCTTTATGACATGCTGGCGGATATACCTTTGTGACGGCGACGGTTCTTTCCGGGTGGGTACTGTTCCGGACGAAGTAGATGGAACAGCCTGATTGACCTTCTGCTCCGGATGCTTGAAGACGGTGCAGCTCAACAGAGTGGCCGAGGACAGATTCAACGATTTCGGTGATGGAGTCGGCCTCGGGTAATGCAGTCAATGCGAAGTTGCCGTCGTCTGCTTTTGGAATGATGAGCTTGTCGAGGGTGGTTGGCAAAACATCTTCCTCGAATCTAGCTCGCTCTAAGGTGGCCATTCTATGGGGTAGAAAATTTCAATAGAAGGACAGAGCATAAAAAAGAAATAGGATAACAATATATCATTCACTTTCATTCGACTGTAATCGCAAAAAGGGCTCTCTCTTGACTCTAGCTCAAAATACACCGATCAGACAACGATCAGACAACGATCGACATAATACGAAGATCTTCAGCTGTGCCACCTTATGCAACATACGGTGGATCTCGGTGTGACTACTCCGTAGGTCAGGTCGATCTGTGACAGAATGGATACGTTGTCTGAATCATGTTGGGGAGCGTCGCATAATTAGCGTTCTATTGGATACTAAGCTACAGCATACACAACCTCTTGCCAATTATATATGTTCAAGCGAGTAAGTCCGTCTTCGTAGTCCGCAGGCCAGATTTGTCTCAGTCGATGGCTGAGTGGCTGAAGACATGATAGGCCTAAGGAGCTGCAGATCACACATCAGGTACTTGGGTATGACATTATTGAAAGCCCAGATGATAAATTTGTAACGATGGATATCAAACGCCAGGTCATCAAGTACGCAATTCCTAGCTTCTGATGAATACAGCTCCAGTATCGAATTCAGCTAGCCACCAGAGGACATTTTGACATGCATCTAGGCAGCCTTGCCCTAAGAAAGCCATTGTGCCTACTCCAGTGCCAACCTGATATTGATCAATAGCAGTCAGTTTATCTAGAAACAGAACAGATACAGCCCCCTCTAAGCCATAAATAGGGACCATGGTTTTTGTTGTGGCCTGGTAATACGATGTATCATTCCCACATAAGTCACTATTGTATTGAAGCTGAAGAGCTGTCTGTGGAGCTGAGCTCCGAGGGCAAATCGGCATCGGTTAGAGCTAAGAAGGTCGACCCACTATGGAGTAGAACCATGGCTCTTCCCGCGCTCTATCTGAACCTTAAGTCATAAAATACACGAAATACGAATATTACGTATCTATTGGTTTTCACAAACTTTGGCCAGCACAGAAAAATGATCTAAGCCAAAACAATGACCTCTATACCAACCTATTTGTACTGGGTCGCATGTCCTAAGCTATGAGTTATATCAATAGATGGAGTATTTCGATGTAAGCTACGTAAAAAATTCTAAATCGTCACTCCCTACTCCGTACGGCTTTACCTATTGGGCAATATTGAATGTATCACGCGAGCTATTCATCGTATAATCATTGACTATGCCGAATAAGGAACTTTACGGAGTACTCAGTATGCAACATAGCAAAAAGCAAAAAGCAAAAAGCAAAAAGCAACCGAGGATCAATAAACTGTAATTAAAACCAGGTCACTTTGCAATCCAACTGCAGTAATACCACAGAGTGCGGTAATACAATGTCAAATCGTTACGAATAAATGATAATGGCGAATACATAGCATGCTCGTTCAATTCAAGATCTACATTGTACACATTCCAATATTATACGGTAGAAACTACCTTGATAATATTGAGCTAAATAACAAGATGTCCACGAAAGAGGAAAGGCAGCTTATTTGGCGGATTCGGGTTCGTTTGCGGAAACGGCATTCGGCAGAAGTGCCAAGAGGAAATCAAAGGTGAACTTGTAGTTTATTCGTTAATGATAGTCTCAATGGCAATTACTCATATAGAAAACAGTCTAAATAACAACAGGTGAGGATGGTAGCCACACCACCCGACATGACCTGACCTGACGAGGTATGTTGTATACATCGTACTCCGCAGACCTCGGCACTTCTCAACTATTATCAGCGCAAGAAAAGGCAGATTCAATCTGTCCATCAGCATAAGCCTCCTTAATCTGCACCACAACCCCATAAGTGCCTCCAACGGCCAAAAACAGTCCTAACAGCACGAGAAAGACATGGAAAGCATACAACATGACCCTCAGCGCATTCCCCTTCCAATAATCGCGATGACTATACAACCACAACCACCCGGGCAGACTAATCGCCAAAGGCGCGAAGCACAAACTGCCCACCAATGCCAACACATAGTTGAAGATGGGGATAGCGCACGCCAAAACAAACGAAATAGCCGACATGCCAATCGTACACGACAGCCAAGTGCACCAATGCACGGCCGTGTTCGCTTGCAGATGACGCGAGTTGCGCAGGATTCGCACGAAGAGGTACTTGGCTGCGACGTGTACGTAGAGACAGCCGCTGACGATCAGGCCCGGGAGGGCGATTCCGTAGGCGACCCGCTTGACAGTTTCACCGGCGCTACCAAGTGATGGGGAGGCGATCCACTTGCCGCACCAGGCGTAGATTACCAGGCTGAAAGTCAGGTAAGAGGCTGTCACCAGGCTCATGCTTAGGTAGACTGCTTTGGGGTAATCCTTTGGCCTGCGCATCTCCGAAATGACCGGGAGGAAGGCGGATGTGGCTGCGCTGGAGACGAAGATCGTTGCCGAGGCTGTGATGCCGGTTGTGAAGTTGGGGTCACCGATGACTCGGTAGCCGAGGTCGAAGTCACCTGTTTGGGGCGCTGCTGCTGGTCGGTCTCGTGTTGTTACGCCGATACTAGAGCCATTAGTACTTGGTCCGAGAGAGGAAAATTGGCCAAAGCTTACACAATGATAAAAACGGCAACATAGACACTGCCGAATCCAACCCAGGTGAGCCAGCCAATATGCGAGAATTTGCGCACACTAGCACACATGGTAATGATAATCATCGCGATGAACGAGAACCAAACGGTACAGATGGAATGCCGTGACAGGGCATTGAATGCGGTCGATACGCCAATGACACCCGATGCCGCGACAATAATATAACTAACCGTGAACAAGAAACCAACAAGCTCCCTCACGATCGGTCCACCGACCACCTGGGCCATGTCCACGATGGAATGGCAGCCCGGGTAGGCATTGCGGAAGTTACCCTGCACAATAGCGCAATAGGCATTGAGTACAGTCCAAGCTATCACGGAAACGGCGCCAGGGAATGCCCCTAGCTCATACATCAATGATGGGATGGAGAGGACGCCGGTTGCGAAGATGACTATTACGGTGTCAGTTTTCACAGAAGCAATAGTGAGACAGGACTAAACTGACTCTTCAGAAAGATAATTGAAGCCCGGATCCAACTGACAGTTCGAAAATCGACTTGGCCATCGCCCCGTTTGAAGACTTCGAATTTGTCGTCGACTTCGCCTTCTTGTGTCTCGATGGCTTTGGGGTCGTCTGTGTAGGGAGAGGTTTCCTTGATCTCATCTGTATGAATTGCCATGTTGAACGAGGATGAGAAGTTTCCAATCAGATGTAAATGTAGGCAGCGAACATGGAGCTCTGAATTGGGGTACCCACGGTCGGTATATATAGACAAGTGCTGAGGAGGGCACTTATCTCTGTTTTTCCTCAGGCTTATGTATGGCTTGGCACCATGGAATTTATCCGGAGGTTCACAGTACTTTGGTCACAGCTATTGCACACTAACGCGCGATAAGACGGAATGGGTCTGGTCCACTTTCCCCACGAAACCACGAGGGATTGAATATCATAGGGGTGAGGTTGGCATGTGGATATGGTTTGGGGTAAGTCTGGCAAAATTGGAGATAGATATTCAATGAAGCATATGATGTTCTCTGTTTCGATACTCCTGCCGTCCTGATAGCTAGAACTGTGGTTTGGATATCATTTGGGGTCGGTCTGGCCTATATTTATGCGATAAGATGAGGTACAAATTGTCTAACATATAACTACATGTAAGTTATAGTTGGATCTAACATAGCACAGCACATGCATGCTCTCTAGCTAAAATACTAAAACGGAGAATTTCAATGGACATGCTAGCAATACTATTTAAGATGAATATCATAAGATGAATCAATATACTCTGTAGTTAACTACATGTTACATAGTACATAGTATGTACATAACTAGTACATTCATGTAGTTAACGATGTCGAGATAGGAGAATTGACTCCAACTACTCCAACTCGGGGTACTTTCGGAACAGTTCGGCCCGTGATAAGCGATAAAGGTGGGATTCCGAGTTGGGGTAGTTTCGATGCTATACTTCGACTTCTTGACTAAATTGACTTGCCAGTTTAATGATTTGATAATTACCTTTGATCAGTCATGGCATACAATATGTTTCCTGGCGTGGCAGTCATTACCGGTGCTGGTGGAACAGGTACGTAGCATAGCCGACCGTTGTGAATATATCACCAACATGATCTAGGAATCGGTGCTGCAACCGCAAAAGCCTTTGCCGCAGCAGGATGTGAGAGAATTGCTATCACAGATCTAAACGAAAAGTCCTTGCAGACAACAGCAGAAGCTATTGCTTCAACATACCCTAAGACTCAACTCCTAGTGAAAGCTGGGAATGTGGCAGATGACCAGTTCGCAGACTCGTTTATTGACGCAGTCGTACAACAATTCGGACGAGTCGACTATGCTGTGAACTGTGCAGGTGTTCTTGGGAAGTCATTGCGCTCAGCGGAAACGACCCTCGAAGAATTTGACCGGGTCAACAATATCAACTACCGAGGCTGCTGGCTGTCTTCTCGAGCAGAGCTTCGACAGATGGTGTCTCAAAGTGAACTCCCAAGTCACGACCCTAACCGTCCTGGCCAGCGGGGTGCAGTTGTGAATGTTGCTAGTCAGTTGGGAATCGTTAGCCGTCCAGGTGCTCGTAAGTTTTGCGCTGATTCCCCCTAAAACCCACGATTGACAGTGTTCTAGCTGCGTATTGTGCATCAAAATCTGCTGTCATTGGAATGACTCGGGCAGATGGTATCGATTATTCCAAGGATGGGATTCGAGTCAACTGTGTCTGTCCAGGTGTCATTGAAACACCACTCATCATGGAGAATCCCGAGATTCGCGCTGCCATCACTCCGGCAGCGGAGATAGCCCCTATGAAGAGAATGGGTCAGCCAGCAGAGGTCGCCGATGCAATCCTTTTCTTATGCTCCACGCAGGCCTCTTTTGTACAGGGTCATGCTATGGTAGTTGATGGTGGATATATTACTGTATAGTTTACCATGAACAAGTAATGATGAGATATATTAGCCGAGAAATTAAATGAACAATTTCAATATCCCTATGCAATGCATATATACAGTCTGCATTCCAACGGGCAACATAGGGAGCAAACCTAGCTGGATGGCCACCAAAGCTCTCATGGGATCGGAGATGGGAGGCTGAATATGAAGTCCAGCCACCCTAACTTGACCTTCAGCGGCCTACCCGGATCGTCCCAGGGAGATTGACGTACGCAGCACCCAGCCGCTCAGCTCCTGCTCAATGGGCGAATCAGGGCACTTAAATAGGCAAGTGGTCAGGTGATAGTCAGGTGATGCTGGTGTCGGTGAGCGTTGAACGGCAAAGTATGTGAATTATGTAAGCATCCTGCTCAGCCCTTGATAAAAGAGCGGTAAGAGACAACGACCAAAAAGGAAGGAGAAGGTCCAGAAGGGCGGAAATCCAATACATACGTATTCGGTACGAGGTCAAGTACATACTCTGTACTCTATACTTGTCTATATACTAGATAATAACGTCTGTCTGGAGTATACACAAGTCACTGACCCCCGATCTTCAGGTCAGACATACATCGATGGGTAACACAATCTTGGAAGCAAAGATTACTAGCCAATACGGTGGCGTTACTAGTCTCCCTCCGAGCTCCACTGATTGACAGCACCGTCGCAACTAAAATGTGAGCGCACGACAGCTCAATTGTGAACTTTCAGCTTGCGATCTCGCAGCCAACTCCTCGCATGTGAAGACAATCACATACTTTCCCGGGCAATTCCCACTCTTCCCGTCTTGCCCGGTCAAAGCCACTTTAAGAGAGTCTTTGATTATAAGCCTGCGGCCATGGATTCGGCTATCGTTGCCCATGAATTGCTTCAATATCTTCGCTTTGGATACCCTCCGATTTTGCTAGGGATTATCTTTATCGTCTTTTTGGTCCATTCCTCTCAGGTAGCCAGAAATGCTGATCGCAACATTAAAGTCCAGTATGGCCCCAATGGGAAACCACTGCCTAGGCGAACCCGAATGATGATGGCGGTAGCCAGGGACTTGCCCGCGGAGCTTGCGCGGAATAGATCCAAGGGCTGGTTTGTTTGGCTGGATCTGTTTGTGCTGGCAACCTATATTGCTGAGGCAGCAATTCATATGACCCATGCCATAGTTTCAAAGTCAGAGCAGTGGTGGTGTGGTCAAGCGGTAGTGGTGCGATACCTGTTTCCAAAATTGAAAGCAAAGCTAATTAAACCTAGTTCTTTGTCGTCGGGGCTTTCTTCACTCATACCGTTATCTTCATCTCTTTACTCGAGAACCGTGCACCGTCAATCGCGCAATTCGTCCCATGGCTCTCGGCCATTCCCTTCGAGATAGCAATTCTCTCAACTTCAATCTCAATCTATTCCCACATCCACCATGAACCTACAATCGAAGATCCATTCGGTGGAAGATTGCGTACAAAGATCACATTTTGGGAGGCATTGGGGATTTCCGCAGGTTCCGTGCGGATTTTTGTTCTCACACTGCTGGTCGCGTCCTACATTTTCAAATCTGCCCGCAAACATTGCGCATTCAAGGAGGCCGAGGATGCCGATGCCGGAGAGACGACTAGCCTGCTAGATTCAAGAGGCAATGCCAACTCGGATGATGGTGATGCCTTGACCGATGGTCAACAGACCCCGGAAGTAGAAGCATGGGTGCGGCCTTTGACGACCCCTTCCACCAACTGGATGGAATATCTGAGTGGCTATTCCCTATTCTTTCCATATCTGTGGCCTTACAAGTCTCTCCGGTTGCAAATTGTCGTCGTCATCTGCTTTGCTATATTGATTGTGCAGCGAGCGGTAAATATCCTAGTCCCATATCAAGTGGGAGTGATCGCAGACTCACTGTCCACCAGCGATGGAAATCTGAAAGTGCCTTGGATGCCCATTTGTCTGTATATCATCTACCGTTGGCTTCAAGGCAGTCAAGGTTTCCTTGAGTCGGTTCGCTCGAATCTATGGATCTCAGTGAGCCAGTATGCATACATGGAGTTGTCAACCGCTTCATTTGAGCATGTTCATAACCTAGGACTGGACTTTCACCTGGGTAAAAAGATGGGCGAGGTTCTCTCTGCCCTCACCAAAGGCAACTCAATTAACACTTTTCTTGAGCAAGTGACCTTCCAAGTGTTGCCGATGTTCATTGATTTGACCATCGCCATTGGTTATTTTCTAATTGTATTTGACGTGTACTACGCGTTGGCTGTCGCTGTCATGACATTCTTCTACCTCTATTCAACTATCAAGATTGCCTCTTGGAGGGCCAATATGCGACGCCAAATGGTGAACGCTTCTAGACAGGAAGACGCTGTTAAGTAAGTTTCTATTCCGTTTCTTTTATCTCATTACGTTTTACTAACCTATACAGGAATGATTCTCTTGTGTCCTACGAAACTGTCAAGTACTTCAACGCAGAGGAATACGAGTTCAATCGCTATCGAGGGGCGGTCTCAGACTACCTCCGCGCGGAATGGCATTCCCTCTTCGCACAGAATCTGATGAATATTTGCCAGAATGTCATTTTCATGTTTGGCCTTCTCATCACCTGTTTTATTTGCGCCTATCAAGTTGCTCGTGGTCAACGTCCAGTCGGCCAGTTCGTGACACTCCTTACCTACATGGCCCAACTTCAAGCCCCATTGAACATCTTCGGGACCTTCTACCGATACATTCAATCCGCGTTGATCAATGCAGAGCGTCTACTCGAGCTTTTCCGCGTCCAGCCATCGGTGGTGGATGCACCGTCTGCAACACCGCTAGCAGTCTGCCACGGTCGAATCACATTTAACGACATCAAATTCTCGTATGACACCCGACGACCTGCTCTCAATGGATTGACCTTTGACTGTAAGCCGGGTACAACTACAGCTCTGGTAGGAGAATCAGGTGGTGGAAAATCGACAATCTTCCGCTTGCTCTATAGGTTCTACAATCCGAGCAGCGGAAGTCTTCTTATTGACGGATACGACACGCAGACCTTGACAATTGATTCGGTACGCAGACACATTGGCGTCGTCCCACAAGACACCGTTCTCTTCAACGAAACAATCATGTACAACCTCAAATATGCCAACCAAAACGCCACCGATGAGGAAGTCTACGAGGCCTGCCGCGCAGCCAGTGTACACGACAAGATCATGGCGTTCCCCGACGGTTATGAAACCAAAGTGGGAGACCGTGGATTACGACTAAGTGGTGGTGAGAAACAGCGCGTTGCCATTGCCCGAACCATTATCAAGAAACCTCAGATCATCCTGCTTGATGAGGCAACGGCCGCATTAGATTCCGAGACGGAGCAGAACATTCAAGAAGCACTAGCCATCCTGTCACGTGGGCGCACAGTGCTAGTCATTGCCCATCGGCTGAGCACCATCACCACTGCTGATAACATTGTTGTATTGCACGAAGGTCGGGTTGCAGAGAGTGGGACCCATGAGCAGCTTCTGGCTGCTAACGGTCGATATAAAACTATGTGGCAGAAGCAGATTCGTGCACAGACCGAATCTGTGGGCTTGAATGCCTTGTCAGGCAAGATATAGATTTGGGCACTATGCATATAGAGCTGCCTTACTTGTGAAGAAACTCAACTCTGCAGAGCTGATTTCTTGTTCAAGGAAAAAGTTGGCTTAATCCTAATATTTAACGAATTGGAACCATTTGAACGTGAAATTCGCCCATTGATTCTAAAGCCGAACAGATCCGAGTAACGATCACGATCTACTTCGTAGAAAATTGAAATTTGAAAATCCGACGGAATACCTCGGACTGAATTGTGTCCAATGCGACCAATGAATCCATAGTTAGGCATAAGTCTAGGGATCTGCAGGGGGTCACACGATAATATCATTTTTGGGGTCATCGACCAATTGCTTTTTGTTTTTGGGATCGCACAGTTTACCTATCATATTGTGATGGCTCCTGCATGTACCCCGTATATATAACCTCTTAGGGACGAGGATGAACCCTATTTATATCGTGCATCGTTGTCTTGCAGTGTTTCATTGCCACCTGTATTACAGACGCGATCAGCTGTATCGATCTCGAGTTTTTTTTTTACTAGTGTTACTAGCTTTAAGACTAAGTTTATAGGTCAAATTTCAGACAAAAGTACATTTTTGTAATCTAATTCTATACAAGTTTCGGGAATTATTGTACTATTCAACATAGCATCAGCCCTCGTTGACTTTCTTTCCCTTCTGTATAAATTACTTTCTTAGCATGAGGCGCATTCTTTGGCTCGACAGCCTCCGGGGCATAGCCTCAGCTCTGGTAGTAATACACCATTCAAAAAGCTCGGAGCCTAACAGTATCGTCGGCTTTTTGACCAGGTCCTACTGGGACGAACCGGCTGAAGAAAACCGTCGTATAATCCAACTCCCGCCCTTCCGACTTCTCTTCAATGGCCCATCAATGGTAGCCTTGTTCATGGTTATATCGGGCTACGCAATCTCTCTTCCGCTTCTACGATGTCGCGAGGAGGTTGGAGCGAGTAATGTCGGGTTCTTTCGTCGATTATGCTCTGCTGCAACTCGCCGAATCTTTCGAATTTATCTGCCGTCTATCGCCATACTGTTCCTCAGCCAACTTGTGTACTTCTGCAATGTGTTCCCGTGGAAAGCTGCGTATGATTGGCTAGGCGGGCTAAAGCCCTTGACAGCGCCATGGGCGCAGGTCCAATATGTGCTTTCGAGAATAGTACATCTGCTGGATATCAGCAACCATCAAGTCGATATCAACTTTGATCGCAATCGACCGGATATGAGGACTATAAACTACCAGCTGTGGACGATGCCAATTGAGTTTCGTGGCTCGTGTGCTGTCTACTTGTTGATCTTGACGTTTTCGTTTTGGAGACCCCAGCCTCGGTATCTGGCATTGGCAGGCGTGGCGACGTATTGGTTTTATATGGGACATTGGGATCTCTTCGCTTTCGTTGCTGGGATTCTTCTTGCAGAGAGACACGTCGCTTCAGAGTCCGGACCAGACAGGGAGATTGCATTATCGTATTCATCTTCACCTCTCGAGATTCAAGAGCCCATTACCAAAGCCTGGAACAAATTCACAGACAAAATCTATCTCCAACAGATCGGAACATCAGTCTCTTTCATTCTAGGGATGTATTTCCTTTGCATGTGCGGCGCTGACCGGTTAGCAGCTGAATACCGATGGCTGGCCGTGGCTCGATCTCCGGAGTGGGATAATGCTGAGATGATGCCCCGGTGCTGGAGGAGCGTGGGAGCTGTTCTGGTAATATATGCAATTAGCAAATCAGCGCTGCTTCAAAGGCCGCTTAACTCCCGGCCACTGCAATACTTGGGCAAGATCTCATTCCCGCTTTATCTAGTCCACCCGACAGTCTATCTCGCTCTCAAATGGCCGGTGCGAGACTTTTTGTGGTGGGCAGTTACGAGAACGCCTTATCCTGGTACTATCGAGGCGAGCAAGCATGCTCTATCGTTTGCTATGACTTGGATGGGAACCATGATCGTTTTAGGTGCTGTTATGGTGGTGGCATCTGAACTTTGGAATCGCTTCGTGGATATGAAGTGCCTCGTGCTTGCGAGAAGATTCGAGAAATTTGTTTCGTGCTAGCGTATTGTACACAGTTCAGGGAATGGATTGCAAAATTAGATTATATGATCAGTAGATACAGAGAGATTTCCGCCATCTCAGCTCTAGTTTAGCTTCAACAATTCAATCCACACTTCGAAGTGACCCTCTCTCTCGGTAGGCCTCTCTTATTAACAGTTTTACTAGGAAGCAATGCATGATAAAGTAAGTAGACAGTAGAATAACTTTTATGACTTCATCCCTATGTATGACCGAATATCTAATTACCCCAGCAAAAAAGTACATATCACAGACGCCGTTATGCAAGAATCCCAAAAGAATCAGATCGTCGCGAGTTTCATGAAATGGATATTACATCGTAATCCTTCGACTACTCTTTCTGAGTAGCATCGGTCGTGGTGGCATCAGTCTTGGTGGCGTCGACCTTAGCGGCATCGATTGTAGTGGCATCAGTCTTGGCGGCATCGGCCTCAGCCTCCTCATAACCCTCGGTCTTCATGTGTGTCAGACCTAGATCATCTTCCTCTTCGGCAGAGCGAGTGTAGTCCTCAATGGTGATCTGAGGGTCGGCAGCTGGACTGCAAAGATCTTGGACGTAAGACGAGGCCATCGGGTCTTGCAAAGTAATAGTGAATTTGAGCTCGCCGTTGATAGCCTGGTCGAGACGACTGAAGAATCTTTGCCATTTATCCTTATCGGAAGAGACCATGCTGTCGCCTCCGGAGTGTGCGGAATCGTCAACATCGAAAATGGCACCCTTTAACTGATCCCTGATCTCAACTGTATAAAGGGTTAGCTGGGTCAATTTAATCAAATAAGGGGAACGAACCTAGTAATCCTTCAACGGTGGTGAAACGTCCACCGAGTGTTCCTGGCTGAACGTCCAGGTCGAGTTCGGGACTGTAAAGTCCTGCGCTGTCACTCTTCAGAATGTCGCGCGAAAGATCAACCTCGTTCTTCACTTCGAGAGTGATACGTCTGCCCTTCTCGGGTACCTCGCCACCGGTCTTGATTGCGGAAGATTTGTAGCCGCAGTGATCACAGTTCGTGCCGAACAGCAGGACTTCCTTGAAGTAAGGAATGTTGACTTTCTTAATGTTCACCTCGGCTTGCTTATTACAGCCGGGGCACTCGGCAGGAATGCTGTAGACCTGGCCATCGACGATATCGAGATCGTCTGGGTCGCCGGCGCCCACTTCAGCTGTGTCCTCTTTGTTGACAGCGTTTTCGTCAGCGGAGATTCCCAACTCCTCGTTCTGTTCATGGGTACGCGGGTATTCATGGCGCTTGTACTTGTTGCCACGATCATTGGCGTTAGGTGCAATCCACGAATTTCCAGTGAGGTCATCTAGCGTGATGGTGAAGGGGAAAGCGTCCTCGCGTTTCATGATCTTCTCAAGACTGGCGATAACAGGCACAAGGGCATTGTAAAGTTCAGGAGCTTGCTCCTTACGGAGATCTTGCTCTCCTGACAAATTTTCATGAATGAGTTGAACCACTAGAGATAAGGTTAGCGTCTTGGGATCGAACTATATTGCATTTGGCTTCACATACTGCCTTCCACATTGGTCAGCTGGCCTGTTCCCTTGGGAACTTCAATCTCTTTGCCTTCCTTAGTGGTAAGTTTGAATCCGGAAACATCACTCCGGATGACTTGGCGCTAAATATCCAATTAGCTTGAGCGGGAGAAAACGGATTATAGCTGGAGATAGATACCTGAAGATCTTCCTCATTCTCGACCCTCAAAGTGTAGATTGTTCCACGCTCCTGAATCTGGCCGGCGGATTTGATCGAATTGTTTTTAAAGTGGCAATGTTCACATTCGAAACTCTCCAGGATAATGTCTCTGAAGTAAGGGACTCGAAGCAAAAGCAAGCGCGTGACTCTAATTAAAGTGGAAGGTTAGCAATGTGCAAAACATAACTGAATACTAGAAACGAACCCTTGCTCATGGCAGTTCATGCAGAGTGATTCAATTGACATCGCGCCGGTGTCATCATCACGCTCCACAAGATCGCCGGGCTTTTGGAATTGCGACTCGAACTGTGCCTCAAGGGCATCATTGTCGGCTTTGGAGACGGTGACCATTGTATATGATTTGTGAAATTAGAGAGAAATAATGTGTAGTGGGATAGAAAATATCTGTGTAAAGAGGGAAATGCGAGGGAAGTTATAGTAAAGCAAGTTGGATCCAAGCAAGAAATTCTTATCGCAAAAAAATATCGGAGCCACGGGAACATTCCTTCCTATTCTGCGCGGGGCAGGTGGGGCTGACAAAGAGTGGGATGATGTATTACATTTCTGCCATGACATATGTCACCGCCTTCTATTTGGGGGGCGGTGAGGATGGCATGATGTAGTGACGTCATCGATATCTACATGGATCCATGGGCAGGTGTACGACGTGCATTGCCCATTGTGCTAGCTAACATTCTTCTTGTTGAATTTCCTGTTATATCCACCAACACCAGAATCTGCAAATATAGGTAGTTAGCATCACCTTGGAATTAGAGGGTTTGGGGGTACTTATAAAAAAAAGTGGCCGCTTCTACCACCAAAGGATAGTAGAAACGGCAGCCCACCGGCTATCGCCTGGCCAAAACATTCTGCTCCGATGGAAAGAAAGAACCATCATTGACACAACGCCCAAGTCCCAATGACCAAACAATAGTTCATTCGCGGTATAGAGATCCCCCGATTTCCAATTCGTCGCTTTTCAGTTCATTACAACCAGACACTAGAGACGAGCCTCAGTCGGGATGCATAGCAGCAGATAAGCATCGTAGACAAGCCAAAGCTTTGATCCTCACTCGAGAGAGGTCCCACGACACCTACTGCATGACGCATACAGGTTAGAACCCCGACCAAGGACATCGCCCCCATGCCGACTGTAAATGGGCTGATGAGTTAAAGCGTTCGAACGATAGAAACCGTGAGTTTCTCCGACCAGAAAAATTGTCATCAATCGAGAGATATCAAGGCGAGCATCAAAGATTGGCGCAAATGGGAGCTGAGGAATGTCTGGGAGCAGACGACACCGATGAACATATCCCTCAAACCCACCAGAGCTCAAACAAATTTCACAAAGACAAGCCAAACTTGGATGAGACACAGTAAACTCAACCAAATCTGCTTGACGGCCACCCATCTCCGCACGTTTAGTCAAATCGCCATTGTTTCACCGATACCGTCGCAAGAGCATGAAGCCGAGTCTCCCGTGTGTGGTACAGTACCCTCTGGGACAGGTTTTTGTTTCCTCTCCCGGTAGACGCGAGGGTCTCGCGGGAGGGCATATTGTGAAGCGGACAAAGAACATCCAGAAAAATCGCTTCCTTCTTCCCGAGGGAAGGAACAATGGTGGAAGTCATTGTTGAAATTAGCGCCCATCGATCTATCCACAAACTACTTTGCGAAGAGATGGCTAACACGGCCGGTCGAGATCTTCTGACGAAGTCGAATCAGTGGCGGGTGCCGTGATACGAGGTGCCTAGCCGCCTGTGGGGCGTAGGAGTAACAGAACCCAAGAAGGTGGAACGCAGGGGCAAGATCCCCAGGGATCCTGGAATAGGAAACATGTGCAGGAGCAGACAGCTGATGATCGCAGAATTGACGATAGAGTACATGCAAACAAGTCCGAAAAACACCAAATTGTTTCGGGAAATTTATTGCCATCTGGAACGAGACAACAGTTCGCAATATTCTATGTGCTCCTAGGACCAACATTGAAGAATCATAGGGCAGCATAACCAAAGGACCTCGCGACAACTTCAACTGTGAAAATGCCTGGGCAATTTTCAGGGAGAGGAATGTTGATTCCGGCGAGTGGATCCTTTGGATATGCTGACACTATGACTGTGTGTAAGGATACTGCTGTGTTCTAGGCAACAAATATCTGAGCCAAACAATTTGATGCCCTAGGATATTCGAGACTTGAATGTCGTATTCAATCGCCATCTGGTCGCGCTGTCGTGGTTGCTCCTCAAGGTAACATCTGATACCGAAGTACCCGACATGCTTCACCCGCGTTCTCTTCTCGCTGAACTGACATCCGAGGCATAGGGCGACCATCCGTTTGTGACCGGCATGCAGCGTCCAGCATTGGTAAACCGACGCGCTCTCCATTTGGATAACGCATAGTAAACCGTCTTTTGTGCCCTAAGGCTCTGGCTGATTCGAATATCTTTCGCTTAATCGGACCATCACAGTCTGTTTCGGCTAATCGTATTATCCGGCATGCGCAATCCGTGAAACTGTGTCGCTGTGGACATTGAACTGAGAGGGGCTTGGGGTTGACTTCAATATCTTTTGCACCGAAACAATACGAGTCACCGAAGGCGAGATATACGTGACGGTTCACCATTGAAGGCAGCAGATGAAATGAAGATCTGAGAGGGTTGATCTGTACATGTGTGCCTTGTAAGGCAAGAGACTCGAGTGGCTCCACACTCAGGAAACGGTCGCGGTGGAACTGTGGCAGGTCTGAACGAGAATGGGGTCCAATGAATGTCGTGAGAACAAGCAAGATCCCGGGTAGCTGAGGAACTGTCCACATCGGTCTAACATTGTCAATTGAAATTGTGAAATGAGCAGTGGATAGAGTAGACGGAGTTGGTGACAACAACAACGTATCTCAGTTGACGCGACGATACCAATGCGGGCAAGCGCGGGCCACTGACGCGACTATCACGTGATCATCACGGTTACGGGCTTGTCTGCTATGACATAATCAGCCACAAACGCCAAGACCGCAATTGTTCGTGGTGATTTCATTTACTTTTCGAACCTTGGAACCGGACAATGTCGATGAGGAAAATACCTTCATTGGCGTGAATTCAGCATGATAGTATCCTACAATTATTTATGATGGGAGATGAACAGCAACTTCGCGACGCGTTTGGCATTGCTAAGAACTTTCTGACCCCAGTTCTCGATCGAGGTATGGACCTTTGAGATGTCGAGCTACATTTAGGTCGAGTGCTAACTATATCTTCAAGAGGAAATAAAGAAGACCCAAGGCAAATCCTTGCTGCAGATCCTCAGTCAGGATTCGGGGGGTGATGATGCCGCGAGACCAGCGGTGATCAATAGGGCTTTGGATATTTTGACCAATATCCATAAATCATTTGTATCACCCGAGGACCAATATGGGTCCCTCAAATCATGCGGGGAGGTTGAAGACTCACCATCAGAAGATGCCAAGCGTCGTCGGATGCTACATGCATTACTGGACCTGATTTCCCTGGAAGGAATATATCCTTCACTATCATCTGGCGTTGGGATTCCCCTGCAGCAGGGTGTGATATCGGTATTACCAGCTGGTGTCATTGCGAAGCAGGCTCAAGCATCTGCTAGTAGTGTACCGCACGATGAGCCTTTTTTGCGCCGCATAATCGACGTTTTGGTTGACATTCTTTTCGACCCAAGACCAAGCCTCCAGCAGATCATTCGTGGTCGTATATTGAGTGATATAATCAGTGGCACAGCTGATCTGGCTTCCAATCCAAATACCACGGGATCATTCGACCGGAACAAGTATCAGAAAACGTTGGCCAAAATAATTGATGAGTACGTTCCCCTTGCTTTTACTATTATTAAGTAATACTAACAGGCTACAGTACCCCAACCACTGTGTTGCTACCTACACTTTCCGCGTTCCTCCAGTCAGATACTGCACCATGGTTCAAGTCCACTATCTCCAGCCAGATCGCGCAAGTTCCGCTACGACCCGGTGGAGTAGTGCAAACCATCATGTTCATTGCATCGCAGTTTTCCCCATCGCTAGGCCAGGAAGCACAGGACCAGTCAAATGGCCCTCGTTTGACTGTGCAGGCCATCATGCAAATCTCACGACTCCTTTCTTCTGTGCCATCTGATGTTGACCCAACTGTCTATTTTGAGACAATTGCTCCCCAACTGCTAGCATTAATAGACGGCGATGATCCGGATCTGAGGCAAACTGCATCATACGTCGTCGGTAACGGAATTTTGGGGAAACGGGCTTATGGCGCTCCTGGTACTGTCGGGCACTCCATCTTTATAGAGCCTATATTCAATGCACTTACCGCGAATCTCGACATTAAATCAAGACAATGGATCACCCGCTTTACCGATATTGAAGGCTCTTTTCCACATTCCGTGGCACCAAATCCCGCATCCAATGTCCTGGTGGATGGCGCCACAGTGGACCTGGCTATAAGCAGACTGCGGTGTCTGACATTGCAGCATCCGAATCCCGGTCTCGTGAAACGAATTGTCTATCCGATTCTTCTTCCATTATGGGGCTTAGTCTGTTTCTCTCAGGAGGAAGAGCTGACCTCATTCCATGAAAGGGTATTGCCTCTGCTACAAACATATTTTGGTATCTCTGTTGGTGCCCAACCCCTCAAAAAGCTGGTTGATAATCTGCTTTGGGATGGAGGCTCGGCGTGGACATACGTTAAAGATTCCGACGCTGGGGTCGTGTTGCAGAAGCGGAGTGAGAAAACGAACGAGCATTCAAACCTGGTGCGGTTGATCGATTCCCTCCAAGGACGAGCAGATATTTTCGTCAGTCTCATTGGCTCGGATCCTAGCAGTGAGGAACGGACGGGGGATATATTCCTTTATGTCAGTCAAAACTGGCTGGTGCAGCCCCAAGGTTCTGCACCCCCTCGCAAAACACTGAACGGAGGTCCCGTTGATGAGAGTGACAACGTCATACAGAGGCTTGTTAGTGCCAAGGTTGCAGAGAAGCTGCTTGAGAACTTCAAAGAAGCACTCACTCGACGCCCGCTCCGAGTTTTAGAGCTCATCAAGCAGGTTATTGATGGGGAGCTACATAGATTTAGCGCCCAAGAAACGGCGATGCGAGGCGTAAATAGCAAGGTATCCCTGTCATCTTTGGCTAATATTGTGGAAACCAAGGACAATGACAGAGATGAGTTAAGCAACGACTCCTTTGAGTCCGTTTCGACAGCCTTCAGTTTGATGTCTACACTTCTTGCATCCGCCGAGTTCTCTCCCACTGCCGAAATCCAACCCCTCCTTGGAGCTTTGAAAAAGGACCTCGATCAACTTATTCCGTTTCTCCCCTCTACCCTCTCCAAAGCAGCAACGACCTCGTCTATGTTGTTGGAGATTCACCTTGCCGCTACTGATGAAACCACAGTCAAGGCAGTACCAGCTCATGTTCAGGACCTTGACACGCATCGTCAAGCACTTGCCAATCTCAACTCAGATCTACCACCCGTGCAAGCGGAGGGCCTATCGCTGATTTCGAAACTGATCATAAACTCATCGCCCGTTATTGATGTGGGCTCGACCCTCACACTCCTTCTCTCCCTCATCACGGACACATCTAAGACCGCTGCCAATGAGGAATACGCATATCTCGGTGCAATCAAGATAGTTGGTACACTAGCATCACGTCACCCACGTACCGTGATCAAAACCTTGGTTGAGGAGTACGCAGATAGACGCGAGCAACGAGCCTTGGACGAAAGACTCAGGATTGGTGAGTGTCTGCTGCGAACAGTCCAGGAATTAGGAGACGCACTGGTCGGTGATACGGCCAAAATTCTTGGAGAGGGTATCATTGCCGTTGCAGGACGGCGTGGCAACAAGCAACATGCACAGCAAATCCGCAAGGAAAAATTTGCCAAAGAGAGACAGGAACAAGAACGCGCACAGCGCAAGGCCAAAGAGCCAGCTATGCCGGAAGGCTGGTCCATTTCATCGGGAGTAGCCAAAGCCGCTTCCGAACTTGACCTCTCAGAACTTCATTTAGACGACGAATCCCCAGAGCAATCGGCGTACGCCACAAACGTGGTTGCTGCATGGGCTGCCGGTGCATCCGCAGATGATGCTCCTGATGACCTTCGCATCCGGGCATCGGCCATTTCCATTCTTGGATCGGCCATCAACGTCAACATCCTCGGTCTTGGCCCAGTCATTCTCTCTTCCGCCGTCGAACTCGCGCTGGCTACCCTAACTCTCGAAAGTGAACCAGAGAGTGCTATCCTGCGCCGGGCGAGTATCATTCTACTCTTCGACATTCTCAAAGCTCTCGAGGCAGCGCGGGAGAGACGCGGAAACCGGGACATCGGGTTTGGCTTTTCTCTTTTTGACGACTCGGCTTCCAGTTTTTCGGCTCCACGTGGTTCAAGTATGCAGGAACAGTCAACCATTGGTAACATCCCTGCCATGCTACGAACTCTCCGCTTCGTCGAAGGTCGTGAGGAGGACGGGCTCGCTCGTGGAAACCTGCGCGCTTTGATTGAAAGCTTGGAAGCTTGGTCGGAGAAGTCCTTGATGTGGGGCATTGGCGCCCAGGCCCAGGATGGTCAAGATGGCTTCAATCCACAATTTGGGCTGGGTGACAGGATCGCCGGTCTACAGGTTGATCCCATGGAATGGGAAAGCACCGGACATCCACGCATCGAGGAGATTGAATGAAACCAAGTGCTCCGATACCATGGGACGAATCATTACCATTTCCCACAAATCAGTATTCCAATCTATTAAATATCAAATAATAGTAGGTATTCTTGGAAAAATGACCAGTTGGATTGAGCTTACCGAAGGTCTAGAATTTCAGAGGTGCCTCATAGATTATAATAGGGACGAGCAGATATCATCAACGAATCAGCTCGCAGAGTTGTCTGGTGCCTCAGCATCATTGGTCTAGTGGTAGAATTCGTCGTTGCCATCGACGAGGCCCGTGTTCGATTCACGGATGATGCACATATTTTTTTTGTTCTTACAAGGTCACAACAAATTGGTGGAAGCTGAAGTGGTTGTTGATTACCATTTTAATGAGAATATTAGGTTGTTAGCCGACTTGATCAGCTTCATCGTCTATCTTTGTCTTGGAATAAAAGCCTCAAAAAAATGATTTTCACATAGCAGAGAAGAAAACAGGAAGACTATGGGAAAAAAGCATATGTGCATTTAATAAATATACATCTAGACACTACCAGTGAAAGAAGACAGATTCATGGCTTAACACTGAACGGATGGAGAAAGTGGCGGGAAACTTTGCCCTAGGATACATATGCCAGTAGAGCACAGGCTAACTGAGAAATTCTGGCGTGTCACAAATATGCAGAAATCCAAGTCGAAACTAGGTATTTGCAGACTAGAAT